GGCTAGTTCTTTTTCAATGATTTCTGGCAATTTTTAATATACCCAACACTTATACTTTGAGACTTCTCTAGTACGTCAGTCAGAGTTAGTTTTTTGCATATCTCGCGAGAATTCGAATATTTATTCCATTGTTTTTTTTGAGGTAAAAAAAAACATATTCATTATGTAAAATATTTCGTTTTCAGTGAAAAACATTCATTGGGTTACTTGTCACAGTGTGACAACCATCCTAAAACAAAATGTGACAAGCAACCCCTTCATGACTAATAATATTTGGAGCTTAACTTTATTTAGACGCACGAGCTTTAATAGCCGTTTGTTAGTTGATTTAAATTCCTGAATTGGTAAACTAACTAGATTAATCAATTTTGTAAAATCTATAATTTACTAAATTCGGTAGAAGAAAAACACAAAATATCATTAAACAATCATTATAAAAATATCATTAAACATCTTTAATATCTTTTTAATATAAGCGTTGCGATAACCAACCCGCTTGACAACCAATCCCGCTCTCTTTTTATTCGATATTTTTTTTCTTAGCTCTCCTTTAAGTTATATGTCATTAAAATAAATTTGAACTTATATAAACTAGTCTCAAAGTTGATAGCGTTTAAAAACTTATAGTAAAAAACTAACAAATGAGTAGTTACCTGATTCATAATGAATACAATCTACATACATCCAGGTACAAAAAAAGCTCAACGACTTTTAATCGCATTTTCTTTTCGTTTTTTAATTTTTAATTTCGTCTTTATGTTGAAAAAACTAAAAGATTTATGTTTCTTTCAAATGAATTTTCAATGCATATTATTATATTGGAAAACTTTTTATATAACTAGTTACAAGTATTAATATTTTAGTTTTAACTCAGGTTTAGTTTTTTTTTTTTTTTTTTTTGCATTGATAAATAAAGGTACTCTAGTGTCAATTATTTTTCCCTTTCATCAAAAAAGTTTCTCAAAACTATACAACCTCTTAAATCTCTTTAAAAAATGAAAAAAATGCGTAAAAGAAAACATTTGACAAGTTCAACTTTTTTCCATTTATCAAAGATGCTAACTAAGGTGTATCAAAAAAATCTTTTATTTTGGGGTGTACCAAAAAAACTCAATTTTTTTTATTCTCTTAGGTCGAAATTGGCTAAAAATACCAAAAACATCTTTTTTGTTTGTGTAAAAGTGACATCTGTAAAACTTCTTTTTAAAAACGTATTTTTAAAAGAAAAAAATCTTGAATTTTAAAAACTTTTTAAAAAATATATACTTTTAGTTAAAAAAAACTTTTTTGTCAAAGTTTTTTATTGTGACTAGTATAAAGCTCAGTTTTATGTCGTTTGATCTGTAGTCTCCAACAAAGTCCTTGATAAGTCGGATATTCCTTTCAACGCAGTCATTTACACATTTAACAAGCTTCAAAAAATTTTTAGAAATATCAAATGTCTGACTGACATCTTCCTCAATCCATCTCTCTGATAGGAATCTTAGCTACATTGATCCAGATCTGGAAGTTTACAAGCTCTGTAAGCTCTTGTAATAAAGGGTAACTTCAGTTTCCTATTTGAAACTTCTCAGAAATATCACATTTTACCAACTTTTTCAACATTTTCTTTACCTCCACATTAATTTCATTGTCGGCTAATCAGCTTAACTAATTGTTCTGTTAAATATTAAACATGGCGCTGCGTGGGGACAAGAAGGGCCTTTCTTAGTATTAAGTAGTGGTGTCTTTTTTCAAAGAATGATTTGAATTAAGACACCACTTTTAATCATCTTTTTTAATGGATGTTTTTCACACATCCATTAAAAAAGAAGAAACGCAACAATGAATAGGATTTTAACAAAAAAGAACAAGCTACTACAGGCTAAGTAGAATAAAACTTTAAAGACCAAAAAAATCAGAAATTGACAGTGGTGATGAATCGGATTCAACAAAAGAAAATGACATGGCAGATATTGTTAAAAATATCTTTACAGATATACTTTTACAGTTACAATTACAAAAAACAAATATAGTTACAATTTAGAAAGTAGTAACAAGGATGACGTAGTAGTAAACTTATGTGGTGGAAGTAATGATTTAACTGTTGAAACTCAAAGAGATGACGTAAAATGACTATAGTGTCAAAACTTGAGTTTTTTTTTTGAGAGAGACTATTGTGTCAAAATTTGGCGGAACTGATTCAAACTATTACTGCTAAATTATTTAAAATTATTAAGTTATTCAAAGTATTTACTGCTAAATTCGGAACAATTCCTTATTGTCGTAATGTTTTGACTCCTATTATTAATTGAGGCTTGAAGTATGAGTGACATTGAACTTGATGCTTTCATAAGCTATCGACAACATTTCATTGGGAACAAAGCTTTTATAGAAACTATGCCGCGTATTCAATTTAAAGACATCATGAAAAATATTAAATTTGATATAAGTTCAAAACGTTTATCAAATCTAATATTTGAATGATGAACGTATCACGGAGAGCTCCTTCAAAGTCACAACTTTGCCCTTATGCCATGGGTGCTGACAAGATTCGTAGAAAACAGTCAAAAATACCTGAGAAATATTTAAAGATTGATGAGCAAACTCAATATGTCATATCTACAATTCTAGTGATTTTACACTTTTACTTTATTTGAAAATGCCAGGATATATGTTTATCAACAAGAGTTTCTAAAAATCTTATACTGGCTTGATTTTTAATCTTATTTAAGATAAGGCAACTAAATAATAGGTTTTTTTCTTGCTTTTTATGAAACAAAACATAGTTAATATTTTCAACGTTAAGAAAGAGTTTTTTAAGCCTAAAACCAAGGATTTTCCATATTTAGTTCAATATTCATATCTGTATATAGTTTCTTGACAGCATTGTTCGTAAGAAGTTCACCCCCCCCCCCCCTTCAATGACTTTTAGTCGGCAAATTTTACCCTTAGTCGGCAAATGTGACCCCTTTTGACTAGTTAGTCAGCAAATGTAGACCCTGTCGATAGATTAGTCGGTAAAGTCAGTCGGCAAATGTCGTTATGGCAGTCGGTAAATTTTAAAAAACGAGGATTTTTTTTTTTTTTTTAGACGGCAAAAGTTGTAATGGCACCCCCCCCCCCACGTGACCCCTACTCGCGCCGGCCCTGCCTTTAATGGAACATTATTGCACTCAATGTTTGCACTTAATGTTTATAAACTTAACATATGATAACATACTTAACATATGATAACATACTTAACAATGATGCACTCAATGTTTATAAACTTAACATATACCAAGTTATGCTTCTGATGTTAAGTCAAAACATGTTTTATCTCCGAATATATTTCACTTCAATATACTTCATCAAAATTACTCACAAATACCCCATAAAATTTTTAACTAATAATTTTGTTGTTCCAAGATCTTATTTAAAACTCAGTTCATTTCAAATTCAATACCCCCCCCCCCCTTTTTTTTTTTCAAAAAAAGTTCATTTAGGTGCCCTAAGAAATCTTTACGGTCTTATCACAGTGCGCCAGGTAAGAGCATTTAATAAGAAGTTCACGCCTCCTTCTCAAGCGATGTCGCAAAATTTTCCCAGAGGTGGGGTTTGAACCACGGATCTTACGTTTCTAAAGCAAATGCGCTACCACTGCTTTTACCGTGGACCATTTATAAAGAAAAGATTTTTTTTTAATATTATTAAAAATAAAACTCTTCTAAACTATTCCCTAGAAAATTCAAAGCAGAATCTAAACAATTTCTATTAGAAATTAACTTCGATCTTAAAAAATTAGTACCTAAAATAATTAAACTCAAAAAAGTAATCATTACTTATTATTTTTGTTTTGATTTCTTTCTTATTTTCTTCTTATAAAAATGAAAAACAAATAACTAAAAGAAAATATGTCTTATTATACAATTTACTACTACTAATTTTTAACATGTTACATAAACTGAAGGCGACAATGTAAACGGGGCTCGGCGATAAGACAATATACATCTTCTGTTTGCTCCGGCAATTTATTATACATGTACGATTTTTCTTATTGAAAATATTACTAAACGCCAAAGAAAAAAAAAAGTGATTAGTTAGTTTTACATTTACAGGCCACATTAAATTTTCATGAGAAAAAGAAGATATCAGAGGATTTTAAAGGAGATTTCGGGTCTAATTTAGCAGATTTTTTTTCACAAAGCTACAAAACTTTGAATAAAAAAAAAAAAAAATTTTTTTTTTTTTTTAAATGTATGTATATATTTGAGTTTAAAGTCCATGTTTCCACACTTGCGTGGTTTAGAAAGAAATTGATAATACTATTCTTTATATTAAATTACATGGATTTGCTGAAGCGATTTTTTGCAATCCAATCCCTTATTTCAATGCAATTTTGCAGAACAGGAAAACCATTTTTATTTACTTTCATTAGTAACGTCAAGCAATTTATCAATAATACTAGAAAAAAGGCTTGAAAGTGTTTCTTATCAATGAAAAAGAATCCATTTAATTTTATCAATATTTAATCAAAGTTAGTTTAATTTTAACCATTTGGAAGTTTTAGCTAAACCTCTTTTTACAATTAAAAAAATATCAAAAAGTATTGAGCATTATTAATAAAAGCTTTGACCACTTCGTAAGTGTATTGTATTTTACTTTTTACAATATTTTTTCGTATTTTGGTAAGGCCAAAATACTCACGAATATTAACAACTAAATTAATATGTTGAATTTTTCTAAAAAAAACTTTAACAATTGATAACTATTCTCAAGAACGTTTGCATTAATATGTTTAAGAAAATATTAAAATTATTTCCATATAAGTTGGTCGGAATAACACCCATGAAACATCTCTTGAATCACACTTTAAACTAAAAATTTTAAATTTGTGCCAATATATCTTATAACTGAAATTTTCGATATTTTAACAAATCGAATACTTTTGAATCTGACATTTTATAAAATTAATTTTGCGCCCCACTGCGCTCTGTTTGAGACAAGTTTTATATTAAAAAGAGAGAAAAACGATTATATTGTGATAAATATTTATATAATTAAAAATTATTATTATATTGGGGTGTAGTAATAGAGCGGTCTTAAATCACTTGACGAAAAACGACTTTAGTCTAATCTATCTATAACCTTAAAATATTCTGCCTCTAATAGTTTATATGCTTCATCTAAGCGTTGAATTCTTTCTTCATTAGATTGACCAACCATTGCCGAGTTATATTCTTCAGAAGACAAAACCGCCCGCAATTTTTCCATGTCACGTGCTTGTTTCTGAAGCAAATAATACTCAAGAATACTTATTTTGATACCAAATTGCAGTTTAATATAGAATAATATAGAAAACAATAATATGGAAAACAATTTTTCAAAGATAAAAAAACAAATATTTACCTGAAATGGAAGATTCAGCCGTTTTTTAACGCATAATCTATATTGGTGATACATAGCGTTGTTGGAAATGTCAGTAACTCGCAGGCGAAGTATTTCATAAACTCTTCTCGCTTGCGACTTAACAAAATATAGTATTTTTTATATAAAAAATAATAATTTTTTTTTTTTATTTAAATAAAATTTAAATACCTTAGTTATTTTGAATTTCTCCAATGCGTCCTTCCTCATATCATCCGAATAATCAGTAAGAAGCTTATCTTTTGAAAAACTGTTAAGTTTTAAACAATTTTGACAATCAACAAAATCTCGACAGCGAACAAAATCCTCTGATGGGTCTTCAACTTTAAATGATCAAAAATTATGAAAAAAGTTTATTTTAAATTAAACAATTAAAAAAAAATCAATTTGCTTTTCTATTTTTTTAAACTCATTTTATTGTTCAACAAATTAAAAGATAACAAATATAACAATTCTAACCTGTTATATCGACTGCATCAGGATTTGAAATATAGTGTTTATTAACAGCATGTAAAAGTTGAACTAAATATTTTAAAATGTCTTTTATTATTCGATATTTGATTTTTTGTATGTTAACATTAAGAAATAAGTAATGCTTTTAAAAAACATAAATTATCAACCTCTAAACGTAGATTTAACGAAACTAAATAAACTTTAAGTAAACGCCCAAATTTTAATTTTAATGTTATAAATCAAAACATCTTAACTTTTAGAAATATTTTAAGAATTGAAAACTTCTTAAAATATTTCTAAAAGTTTTTGCAGTTAAATGAATTTAAAAATTTTAACATTTAGTTTTCAAAAAGTTATGGCAAACTTATACTTAAAAGTTTGACGTATAACTAATATATATTATTTAAAAATTAAAGACTACAAAATTTCAATTTATTTTAAAATCATTTTGTTGCAAATAAGTTAATACTTTTAACAAGATATTTTATTATATTTTAAAATTAAGTCTACATAATATTCCTAAGTCAATTTTTTAGATGTGTTAATGCTGCTCCAAGCGAGATCTGCAAAAAAACATGGAAAAAAAACTTTCGCTGCAAAAAAGCATGACAAACAATTTCATGTTGTTAAATGTAAAAAAAAAACGAAGTTTACCAAGATCTAATGAGTTTATTAAAAATGCCAACAGAGCTAATAGTTGTAAAATAAATTCAAAACATTAGTTAATGAAAGTAAAATTGAGAGTGAAAATAATAGCAGATAAATTTACTGAGTTATAGAATATGTTTTTCAATCCTATCTAAATCAACAGTAATGTAAAACGCAGAAAAACCGAAAGAAAAAAAAAAAAAAAAAAAAAAAAATGAACAAGAATTTAAAAAGACATGACAAAGTAAACTTTATTGAGCTATTTGATATCATATCTGTAAATGGATTGTGGCTTTACATTAAAGACAAAGAATTTTATAAGGTTCCAATAGAACCTAAAAGTATAGTTAAACTTTCATCGACAGAGTCTTATACTTTATTTAGAGTCGTATACCTTTGAACTTTCATCGACAGAGTCTTATAGTAAATTGTATTTACTATAAGACTCTGTCGGTCTTGTATTTTATTCAATATAGGACTCTGTCGATTGAATTGTATTATAGTAAATACAATTGTATTCATTATAATAAAATTTTATTTTTAGATCTTATTTTTAAACTCGGTTTAAGCCATATCATCATTATTATTTTTTTCTTTATTACTTCAGACTTGTTGTTCCTTTTTTGAGTTAACCATTTGTTGGTCAAATGTGTTTTTTTTTACAGTTTTATTGAGTGTCTGGAATACTAAATAGATTTTCATGAGCAATAGAAATAGATTCAGATAGAGAGTCAGAAGAATCAGAAACAACTTCATATTTCATTTGAAACAGAAAGTTCAACTTCATATTCAGACTCATAAACTGTTGATGATATAGCTGGATTTGAAGTGTCTAGTTTTTAGAATAACTCAACTATTCATTTGTGGCATTTTATTGAAGACAGATCTGTTACTAGCTCTATTTCAGATTCTGACTTTGGATATAAACAAGGATCCCACTTATATCTGTATACATTTGTTGCATTTGAAGAATGAGAAATGAATGCAACTATCAACTTACATTGGTTAACACCTTGAAGTTTTGTTGACAAAAAAGTTATAACAACATTGTTTATTAACAAACTAACATGCCTACAGCAAAGGGCCTCAGCTGTTGATTTTACTATGACTAGCACATCAATGATAACAGCTAGTTATGATCTCCTTATTAGGTATTATTACTAAATAGACTTATGCCAATTAATGCCTTTGTATTATATTTTTTATTAAGTAGTTGTGCTAAAACATTGACAAAACACTACTTTCATAATTCAGTAACATTATACTTCTGAAAGATATTGTTTTTTTGTTGTTGGTGATTGTCTGAACATTACAACTAACTTTTGCACCTTTTTTTATCGCTGAGCTGCAACTTATTATGACTAGCATCAAAACCAAACAATTCATTGTTGTCAATCCTCGCAAAAGTTACTCTCTAAAAAATTGTCTTGTATATATGATTGTTTATCATTGTCAAACTGTTGATATATTTCTCTTTCTATATCTTGCTTTTGATATAGTACTTCAATAATGGCCATGGGCAAGACATAATTGTTGATTTACAGGTAATATTCTCCCAACTTTTTTTTATCACATTTGCTCTGTCAGTCAGTGTACCAACAATATCTTTTTGCAAATCAAGTCAAATCAAGTGTTGTGCAAGCTTTTGTTCTAATGGCTCAATACGTTTATCTGCATACATTGATCCTGTCATACAAATTATTTGAAGGCATCTTGTTATGCAAATTAATCCTAAGCTCCAGAACAGATAATTTCATGCATGAAAATTAATATTCAAGTAGCAAAAGTTACATAGTGATGTCCATTCATCCTTTGATGAATGGACATCACTACGTGATGTACTTTTATCCTTTGATGAAATCTTTTTAATGAAAATCATTCTCCTACACCAAATTCAGGGTTTTAGCCAGCTATTTTAGTAATTGAAAAATTCCTTATTTTTTTTTGCTATAACCAATAATCATTTTACACAAAGTGTTGACTGTTAAAGTCATTACACATAACTTACTTAACTGTGTTTTTATCCACAACATTTCGTTGGTAAAAACACAGTTATGTAAACTTTTTTTGTTTTGCATTATATACACTGTATTGGATTATTATATTAATTTCATTAAATATTGAAATACATAATACTTGTATATTTAGCTTATATTTAATGCATTGGAAAACGTTTATATTGCATACCATATATTTTTTTAGCCAAATGTTGTAAAAAAAAGGGCCTAATGTTGTAAAAAAAAATTCAAGACTTACCACAGTGACCTTTTCTTTGAAATGGAGGAAGAATCAATGTTTGACTAAACAATAGAAAATATAAACTTATCATTTTTTCATTTAAACAATTTTATTTCATCTAAATAAAAAATCTCCATCAAATAAATTTTTTTAAGTAACAACTAATGTACATAGAAATCTTAATAAACTCTTTAAAAAAAAACAGCAGTTAAATTTTAATAATCATGTTATTAGGAGTAATTTTAAATATGTTAACATTAAAAACACATTAATTCATAAATCTCATTTTTTTTTTTTTTTTGAACACAAATGTCAGTTGTTTATATCAGTTTTATTTGATTTGAACAAAACCTTTGCAGGGACTAAACATATGCAGGGACAAAACATTTGGATGCATAGCAATGAGAAATTTGATTGTTGTTGACATTAGAGAGTACCAATTTTTTATAATGCGTTGCTTCTTTCTAGCATGTTTCCTAACATGTTTTGCAAATGAGCACAACATATTTTTATTGCAATACAACCACTAAGAGAATTATCCTAGGAGGCCTCAAATAAAAGTGGTAAAAACAAAAAAATCATTATATAGCATTAATGAATTCATATAATAAGTACTAGAGCTCTTTTCCTTGTCTTAAAAAACATTGCGAACAAAAGTTGCCCAAATAAAATATTTTTTCAACACCCTATTAAATGATAACACAACAAATCTCCCATCATCATATGAAATCTTTTAGTTATATTGAACCTCTATTCAATGCAAAAAATCAGTATTAAAAATGCTCATTTTTAATACTGATTTTTTGTTGCTCATTTAAATACTTGCTCAATACTTGCTCATTCAAAATTATTTTCTTAAATCAACAAAAATTACTTGCTCACTCAACATAATTTTTTTTTTTTAATTATTTTCAAAAAGTAAAGAATTATTTTACCTTATCCGTGGTCGAAATTTATCAGGATATGAATAATAATGGTAAACAGTCATGTATCCGACAATATTATATATTGGAGCAATTGATTTCTTTTTTTCAAACCTAAACATAAATGATTGATTATAATGTACTGTATCACTTCTGAATTGATTGACTAAAAATTTAAAAGTATTTTATCTAAAAAATTGTTTTACATAAAATGATTGAAAAAAGATAATTTTTTTTTTTTAATAAATGTCCCCAAGATAATTTACTTTAATAATTTACTACAAAAAGAGTACAAAAGTGCCCAGCAAAATCCTAATCTTTTAAAATGAAATTTAACACAAAACTTTACATACAAAACACCCGATAAAAAACTATAATAACAAGAAATTATTATAAAACCTACAACAAAAAGAAATGCCATTTCTCATCATCAATATCTAAAATAAAATATAAAAATCAACAAACTTAATATGAAATAATAAAACAGTAACAAAAAAAGCAATAAAAAATTATATTTTTTATTGCTTTTTTTGTTTCACATTTTTGTATGTGTTTTTATTAATTATAATTTATAATAAATAAAAACATATACAAAAATAACAATAACATTTTGCACATAAAAAAGATATTAATAACTGTTTTTATTAACTATTATCAAAAATCTAAATAAATAAAAATATGATGATAACATAGAATTAATCTAAATAATTACAATATTTAAAAATAATAACTAAAACAATTATGTACCAATAAATGATGCTGCATCTATATACCAAAGAATAAATGTCTGCAGTCTTTCGTGATATTCTTTTAGACGAGGAGTAAATATATCAGCCTTTAAACAAAAAAATATCGATGTGCAGAATTTGTGAGGTGCAGAATAGAATTTGTAATTGGCAAATGCAAATTAGAATGAAAGTTAGTACCGAGTTAAACATCATTAGGTAACATTCTTAGATCAATAAATTATACATTATTTTTTATTATTAACAGATTTGTTGAAACCATAAATATCTGAAAAATTTATTATGCTATAGGTATGGCCAACAATATACCAATTATATTATCTAAATCTGTGTCTAGAACTGTGAATAAGAAAAATATCTTAAATTCATATTATCAAATGATTTAAAATAGAATTAATTTAAAATGATTTAAAATAGAATTGATAAAAAAAAAAAAAAAATGTTTACAGAAATTTAAATGGTTGATCCTTCATTATTTTACTTTTATCAAACATTAAAATGTTTGCTAAAAGTAAAAGGTTTGATAAAAATTATTCAAAACAGCAAGACCAAATTTTAAGTATGTTTTTTAAACTTGGAATCAGGTTATTAAAAACAATATTAATACACATAAAAAAAGTGTGGGAAAAAAAGCAATCCAAATGTTTCTCATATATGCAATAACAATACCAGGTAAAAAATGTTAAATGTTGTACCACTAGACTAAATAAGAAAAGAATAAGAAGTTACAAAACCAAATGATTTAAAGTAGTTAATGAAAAAAAGTTAAATTTATAAACTTTAGGCAAAGCTCTATTATTCAATTAACTTGAGATTCAAGTAGGATTGAGCTATTACAATTAAAATGGTAAATGCAAGAACATTATCTATGTACTATGATATTGCTTACAGTGAGTTACACGCAATGGTGTTTTTGCTTTTTACTGTTTTTACTATTTTTAACACAAAGGACTAACTCTACTATTAAATGTAAGATACTGTAAGTTACAATGTGGTACATGGAGAGTGTTCTTGATGTTTTTTTTTACTATTTTTACTAATGAGTTTATCTTAACTAACTTAAATTCAATAATAAATATTAACATAAAAACCTCATAGATTTCATATTCTGTATCATCATGAAAATAAGAATGAATTTTGTTGCCCATAGGTGTAAAACTGTCTTCTTTTTCAAGTTTTGAAATAAACTCATCTCGATTAGAAATAAAACCTTTAACAACAAACAGTATAAATAAAACATTTAGATTTTATATTAAAAAATTGAGTAAAGATATATGATCATTAACTTGTGTACTAACCTTGTGGGATTTGTTCAACAATTTTGGGTATCACTGGATCTGGCTGAAAACATAAAATTGAAAAATAAAATCCAAATATCTTTCCTAAAATGTTATTCAATCAAAAACCACAAGCTATAAAAAATATATTCCATGAAATTATATGATAACACTATATCATATATAAAAGGGTAAACCTAAGGTCTTGCTAAGTCCACAACCCACTAAGTCTTAGTTATTTACCCCATTGCATTTAGTAAAAAAATTCAATAACACGTGGGATGACCTGCATACAATCATTTAAAAATGATTGTATGCAGAAAACACGTTTACATACTATAGTGCACACCATACCAAAAGATTCATTGCATAATTGTTTACTGTTTTTGTTACTTATTTTTAGGATGATTGTTATCTTCAGAAACAAAAATTGTTTAAAAAAAAGAAGCAACAAAGATTTCTTTTTAATTATATTATTTATATTATATTATTTTCTACATAATTTTGCTTTTAGCTGAGTTGTTTCAAATTTTTTTTCCAAATTTTCTCAAATTTTTGTATGAGTGATCAGTGAAAAAGCTTAAAAAAACAAATATATTACAAAAATATATACATAAACATGATGTATGAAATAGGATTTGGATATCCGGAAATGACAGCTACTTATTTTAATTTTAAATCATTCAAAACAAAATTATTATAAAAATAATACATAAAAAACTTTTTATAATAAAAAATGATTCATCCAATGAATTTTTTTGAAATATCTTATTGCATTTATTGTTTAGTTTTAATTTGGTTCATATATTTCAAATACTCAGTTTTATTTAAACATTTTATTGAAAATAATAAACAAACTTGTCAGATTAAAAACAAAAAATTAAATCTAAAATAGTTTGTGATTGGTTACTTTAAAAAAATAATATATTCATAAAAACCTTGATTCCATATGACCTTGGTATTTGCTCATGATATTCCATATTAAGATAAGTCAGTAAACTTCCGGCATGATAATATAACTAAATAAATTTCAATGAAACTCTTACTTAAACATTTTTGAATATATTAAAAACAATGATTAACAGTAAATTAGTAAAAGGGATGCCAAGTCTCAAAAGGACTCTGGATTAGAACACTACATACTTGAATTCAGCATTCTCAAAAACTTGGGTAAAAACTACAAATTTGAATTCAGCACAATTCAGCAGAATTCTCAAAAAATTGGGTACCAGTTTTTATATTCTTCCATTAGACCTTAAACTATTCATTAATTCATTTACAAAAAACATAATGACAGATTGTGTGTGTGTGTGTGTGTGTGTGTGTGTGTACATGTTTTTGCATATATATACATAATTAAGTACTTTGTCTATGTTTTGTTTGTGCATTGTTTTATTTTTAAAAAGTTGATAAACATAATTATGATTATGACTTTGTTGATGATAATATGGAAGCTGAAATTAAAAACTGACAGTAATAAGAAAGATAAAATTAAAGTAATAACTTTTTAATCGTTCTTTCCGATAGCAAAGATTCAAATTAATTGAAACTGAAATATAAAGAATCTTATGAGGCAAAGATAAGAAAATTGATAAAAAGTTTTATAGATCACCATCGAGCGATGATGATTCAGCAAAAAAATTCAAAGTTCCAAAATTCAAAAAAAAATTAAACTTCAGCCTTCAAACCTTGAAAAAAATTTGAAACTTTTTATTGAAAATTTTAGAATAATTTTGAAAACATTTTGCAAGGTTTGCAAAATGTTTTCAAAATGTTTAAAAGATTTGAAAACATTTCGCAATAGAAAACATTTTGCAAACATTTCGCAAAATTAGCTTAAATTGGAATGGATTTTGATTTAACAAAATATGATAACATTAATAACCTTTGCATTGCTTTAAAACTAGTAAAACTGGCTATTAGTAGTTTTTCTGTTAAATGTTCTGTGAATAAAATTGTGAATTAAATTGGTAACAGAATTTAAAAAAAAGATCGATGTTGATAATGACAAAAAAAACTTAACATGTCTGTATAAACTATTCCTCCTACTTCAGTAGGAATTAATAGAGAGTTTTCTATTCTTGGAGTGTTTGACAATAAAATAAGAAATTTTCAACATTTTAAAGCCTACTATAAATTGTTCAGTGATATTAATTATATTTGTCATATTTGACATTATATAACTGATGATGTATTAAACAAACAAAGAAACTTTTCACTTACTTTGCATTACTTTTGTGTACATAAAACATAAAAAACTTTTGAAAATTAGTTTAAACCTGTTCAGATGTAGATAAAACCAGAAACTAGTTCCAACCTGTTTAGGTTCAAACTTTAAAAAAATGGAAGCCAGAATACTGAAGCTCTTACCAGTAGTTACTTATGTATGCTTATATCATTGGTGATATTCCATACACAGCTAAGTGCACTTACTGTGATTTTATATATTTTAAAGTAATTTTTTAATAAGTTAATCGCAATCTATTTTCTTACTTGTATGTTAAGTCCTTTGTATCCAAATATAGTTTCACTATAACAAAAAATATAAAATTTATTACAATAGAACATAGGAAGTATAAAAACTATTACCTTATTATAAATATTACAAAAATCTTAACATGAACTAATAACAAAATTAACTTTAAATCAACAAAAAAAAAGTTGAGCGAACAAACGAATACGATATAATCTGCAAAACAAACAGGCATAAGATTGCTTCATATGTGATAGTCAGATTAGTAATGCATTTGCAAATAGTTATAGCTGCTTAAAAAGATTCTAAAACATACTTAACTGTCAATAAAATTTCCATCATACAATCGCTTTTCAAAAATTTTTTAAAATCACTATAACCAATGAAAAATATGATATAAAATGTTCAAACTAATGATTATTTTAATAAAGTGTAAACTTAAAATTTAATGCTGCAAGATTTTATTTTTCAACAAAACATAAAATTTATGTTAACACACCTATTAATAATAATGATCATAACAAAACTGTTTGACTCACATAATGTATTATTTGCAAAAAATGGTATTGAGGTCAGTTTCTCATGTTTCCTCTTCACTAGTTCACTATTATATGGTAAATTCATTTTAAATCACTAAGTTAACAAAATCATTCCTTGATAACTTGATAACTGTTGTGTTAGGATCTTTGTTTATATACATTTTTTAAAATTTAAATGGCAAATAATGAGTTCAATTCGTGATTTTTGTTTTCTTTATTGTATTGATTATTTTATCACCTTAAAGTCATTAAATTAGGCATGTATGTGTTGAGTAAAAAATTCAATATGCTACATGCAATATGACTTGCTCTTCTAGTTCTTGTTTTTTAGACAATAAAAAATTTTTTTTTATTGTCTTTTTTAAATAATTAAAGATTTTACTTAACGGTCAGTTAACCTTTATAAAAATATTAAAAAGAAGAAAGTTCTTATTTGGATAATATTTTGTGGATGTAAACTTTTAGTTATTTTTATAGATTTTTTTTATGAGTAATTTCATTTTTCTTAGTATTTATTTATAACTATTAACTTATAATTATATAATATAAAAAGAAAAACAAAAAAACAAAAAAAAAAAACAACAACAAATGTAAAACTTAAAAAAAAAAATCTTAAATCTTAAAAAATAAAAAATCTAAATAAAAAAAAAATGTAAAACTGCATTTTTATGCAGAATATCAGTCATAAAAAAGAAAAATTTTTAAGAATATATTTTATGTTTTTATATGCATTCGGCAACTGTCTTAAAAGGATCTCAAGCTACTTAAACATGTTGTGTTCATATGAAAAAGAATGATAAAAAAAAAGTTGGGGCTAAAATATTTTGATTAAAACAAAAGAATAAATGCATAAATGCTTAATAATATATGCTGCAACCTACAGACTTAATAATTTATTCAAGTATGTTTAAGTTTTAACACATGTCATTGGTTATTTTGTTTGTTTAAAAGATAGATTTTTTAAACAAACAAAAAAATCAATGATATCACATATTAAAACTCTTAGAAAAAAAAACGCTTGAATAAATTATTAAGTTTGTAGATTGCAGCATAAATTATGAAGACTATTTGGCCTAAAACTAAATGGTGAAGGCAAGCTTGGACTATAATAAAAAAAAAGTTTTTTTTTGGTATGCATTTAATCTTGTTTTAATCAAAAATATTTAACCCAAATGTTTTTTTTTAACCATTGTCTTTAATATGAACAAAACATGTCTCTGCGGTTTGGGATTTTAGATTGAAAAAAAGTTTATACTATTAATTCTAACTAAGAAAGTGATGAAACAAATAGCACATACAATAACTTAGTAATAAAAATAGGTGTATGAGCATATTTAATTTAACAAAATAATTAGTACATATTTAACACAATTTAACACAAAAAATAAAATACAATAAAATGGACAATATTGTCTTTATTTTTGTTTAAAACATGTAAAAAACAAAAAATGAATAAAATTAAAAATACATTGTGCTAAACCAATAGCACACACATCATTTCAGCAGGTTTTAGAGATTACTAGCACGTAGAAACTGAATAGTCAATCTTCTTACCTTTCTTTGTAATAACCTGAATGCAACGCTTAGGTATGGAGGAAATGAGCGTTTTAAGCAAAGATTAGGGGATTTTTTTCCATCCCATCTGGATGGCCATTATTAGTTACATGTTGTTTTAAGCAAAGATTAGGGGATTTTTTTTCATCCTATCTGGATGGCCATTTTCAGTTACATGACATATTGTTTACTGAATTGTTCCATTCCATTTGTATACACATGACAAGACAAGTAACCTCAAATGTTTTCAATTGGATTCAAGTCTGGTGACAGCGCTGGATGATCAAACAACTATAAGTCATGTTCCGTTACATATTCCATCATGGTATTTTTTACTTTTTGTAAGTTATGCCAATAATATTGATATCTATCTGGACCATCAAGATTAAATTTCTTTAAAACCCCAAATCAGGTGGACAAGACAAGTGTTTGTTCGCATACGCCATATGTTTCTGCGTCTCCGGTGTTGACATACGCTTTGCATACCTCAGATGTATGACTTCAAGTAATGTTCTTTGTATCTAACGCAATGATACATCAACATCCAGCTGGGCATGTATCAATCAGGTACTACAGCCGATGTTTGAAACCACTTGCAGTATGTGACGTTTGTTATGCTTGATTAATTTCAAAGCATTTAGGTTGGATTTTGTTTTCAAACATCTATCAGGATCCTTCAAAATCATCTGATCACCTTCCAACTTTGCTGTATATATTTAGATACCTCAGAATACATTGGCAACCTTGAAAGCCTTGATCATAGTGACTTCTTCTGCATTTAACTTAGTTCCACGTCCCAATGTAGCTCTCTGTAACACATGATTAGTTCACATATGATTTTCCTTTGGTCTACATTAATATATGCATCACTTAGCGTTAGCAATTTGTCTGTTGCAGTCAAATGTTAAATGACTGATGTGTGTTGTACGTTTGTCACCAGAAAATATCATATGTCTACCATATTTTGACGCAAAAAAAAATTTGGCATAATGTTTCTTATTACTTCTGATTATAACTATTTTTAGATATTTTAATATTTAAAACAGTATAAAATGAATAAAATATATTATGTTTATAGTGTGTACTATTTGTTTGGCGCAGACTGTATATACTGTAAGTATATAGCAAACTTAAGCAATTAAAGTTTTAATGCTACATTCTTCAAAATACTATTGTCTAAAGCTATGCTTTTATTACCAATTAATTACTCACCTGTTTTGTAACAGAATACAAAAAATCAAGAGCAATATTGTGCTAAACTGATGTTGGATAAGTACAGCACTCTTATGCAGACCTGAAACCCTTAGAATTTAATGGGCAGTAATTAATTTACAAACAATGATCTTAATGCACAATATTCCTAATTATAACAGAGGTTAAGAACAATAACTATAAATTTTTTGCTCCTATTTTAAAATAATTTTTAATGCATTTACTGTCATTTTTTCTATTTATTATTAAAAATTATTCAGAAAGATGTAATGCAATTAATAAGAAAATAGGATTCGCAATCACGACCATTTAGTTCTAACAATGAAAGCCATGCTTTTTATTTAATACTTATAATCACCACAACCCTGCATACATTTGGAGCAACTAGAGATGTAACAACCAGCAAGTTAAATTAAAATAATAGTAATAAAAAAAAATTATGATATATGAATAATAAATTAAAAAATATCCCTTAAATAATATTGTTGATAAAGTTTAAATTTTAACTTATAAAAATATTTTTTAAATAATAATCTATATAAATATGTTAAACAATACAAAAATTTAACTTTTGAAAAGTAACAATTTTAAATAAAAAGTTTCAAGCATTACAACACTAAAAAATTACCTTTCCCCAAAGACTTGATGACTCATCATTGGGTGGAAAACTCCTTCTTTGCCTATGACATCTTCTTCAGAATGCACTTTTAAAATATTCAAAGAAAGTTTAAGATAATGAAAATAAAACCCAAGTTGGATGGCCTCACTCATACACACAAAAAAAAAAATTGCTTTTAATAAAAAAATTCCAGAAAAATAAAATACTCATTTTGATTCTACAGACATCAGCAAGCAATTATATAATAATACTAAAAATAATTGTAAATTAAGTAATACTTAATCACTGGGTTAGATACACAGAGATTAAGTAGATAATAAGCAGTTTTCTCTGTTTAAAACTTAATGCCAACACACAAAAAGTGCTGACTAGATGGTCAATATTAGGCTATTTAAATTTTTTGAAAAAAAAAATGCTTTAGATAAATTCTAAATGAAATAATTATAAAAAACAAACCGCAGAAACGAACGTTTTATTTAAATTCTAAACAAAAGAATAAAAACGGGAAGAAGGAATGTTTTATTTAAGTTCTAAATAAAATAATTAAATTAAAAATAAAAAAATTTCTAAAAAAAAGGTTTTTTATTTAAATTTTAAACAAAAAAAATAATATAAAAAAAACAAAATAAACATTTTATTTAAAATTTCAATAAAATAATTCATAAAAGTATTATCATGATTGTTCATTAAAATATTTGCTAAAAAAAAGATTTGTTTTTTTAAAGTTTTTTAACAATTTAAAAATTAATAAAAAAAAAGATAGAGATTGTAGAGATTATATGAATCAGGAAAACAAGATGAAGGAAGCAAATTCCAAAAAACTGATGATCCAGGAAAAAAACTAGAGGAATAAGAGTTTTTAGAGCACTTAGGAACAGTCACAGAAAAAGGATGAGATTTTATTGAATGACGAGTAACGCAAGAATGAATTTTAGTAGATGGCACAAGAGATGCTAGCTCTTTAGAGCAGTGCGCATTATAATATTTATAGCAAAGTGAAAGAGAAGTAACATTAGGACAATGTGATAACGGTTGGAGGTTGGCTGCAAGAGCAGGTCCAACTATGTTTAGAATGCACTTAAGCACCATGTCTAAAAAAGAAAGGGCATCATTAGAAGATCTGCTCCAGATATGGCAATAGTATTCTATACAATGATGGATTTGAGATTTATAGAGATAGAGAATAGAATCCAGAGTTAGAAAATGTCGACCTCGATAAAGAGATGCAACCTTAGCAGATACTAATTTTGCAACAGATTTGAAATATGGTTTCCGAGAAAGATCATAAGTAAGGGTTAATCCTAGAAGATAAAGGGTAGATGACTCATCAAGTACATTACCGTTACATTACCATTCATAAATATAGAAAGGTCTAAATTATTACAATAACAATTAGATAAAAAAAAAATTGAATTTTATCTGAATTAAAGTTCACCAGCCTCTGTGAGCCCCATGCTATAGCAGAAGTGAGATCCTTTTCAAGCTCAAATGCCCCCTCTAAGCAATCAGAAAGTGTTGGCTTCTTATAATGACAAGAATAAATGGTATTATCATCAGCGAACAATGCCACCTTAGATGTGGAAGATCGTTAATGTAAATTAAAAAGAGTATAGGGCCAAGGATTGAACCTTGAGGAACCACTGAGGTTACAGAATAAGAAGAAGAATGCTGTCCATCAAGGACAACTTTTATACTACGATTGGAAAGGAAGGATTCAATAATCTTAAAGATGTTTCCAGATACACTGTAAGAAGAAAGCTTATGGAGAAGACCAGCATGCTAAACTTTATCAAATGCTTTAGAAATGTCAAGAGTGATGGCCTTAACCTCTCCACCTTTATCTAACACACGATAAAACCTATCAGTTATTACTGCTAAAAAATCAGCCATAGAACAAGAAGATTGAAATCCATATCATTGATCAAAAAGTAAGTTATTAGATTCAAGATGAGAGATTAAGTGTTTGTTAATTAGAGATTCAAAAACCTTGCTTATAATAGGAAAAAGACTAATGGGACGGTAGTTAGACGAATCAGATTGCTCTTCAGAATTTTTGAAAATAGGGATAACAGATGCGGCTTTCCAGCATGCCAAAAAACAAAACTCTGATAAGCACTTGTAATATAGTTTTGAAAGTATAGATGACAGCTCCGGTGAACATTTCTGCAAGATTATAACAGGTATGTTTTCTGGACAACAAGTTGTAGAAGAGTCTAAGCAGGAAATCACTTTAGATACAGAAGCTGGAGTGATACGAATGTTAAGCGATGGATCAACTTTTTTGACAGCTATATCAGGTAGAACGCAACTAGTGGAATTAAGAGATGATATTGATGAAAAGATTTTAGCAAGCAATTCAGCTTTGTCTTTAGGTGAGGTGATAAAGTCTGAACCATGCAAGAGAGGTGGAATTACAGATTTGCCCTTATTATTGATACTACTAAAGATTCTTTACTATTAAAGTCACAAAAGCCTAATTTTTGTGATGAAATATGAGATTTCATGACCTGAGAATAGCGGGCTTTGGCGTTAGACAAAACTTTTTTATAATGGTTTCTAGCAATAGTAAACATAAGTATGTTTTCTGGAGAATTGTTTTGCTGATAGATATGGAAGTAATGGTTTCGATTAGAAACTGCAGCAGCACAATTTGAGGAAAACCATGGAGAAGAGTGAGGCTTGACCTGGAATCGTCAAGAGGGAATAAAGGATTTCATGCCAGCCTGAATCCAATAAGTTATGTAAGCATATTTAACAGCAGGCACATTTAACATATATATAAGCATATTTAACAGCAGGCACATTTAAGCATATTTAATGAGAATGAGAAACAAGACATAAGTCGAGTAAAGAAGATAAATTATTTTCAGGTTGTCTAGAAAGCAAGTTGGAAAGTTTACTATTTGAGTTAGAATGCCTACAGAGTCACTGACAATAGAGCCAAGCCATTCAGTATGATGAGCATTAAAGTCTCTGACAAGAGAGAGGGCTTGTTCAATATGATTAGAAATAAAATCAAGAAGAGTGCAGTCTTGAGATGAAGGAGAGCAATATAGAACAAAGAAAAAGGCGATAGAACAAAGTGGTGCTAAATGAAACCACATGAAAGAGTAGTCTGTGGATTCAAACCTAGATTCCCGATAAATGGGTGAATTCTTACGAATGTAAATGCCCAGGCCAAGCATGACTATTGGAGTCTTTAAAAAGTAAAGGAAGATAACCATTAACACTAAGATCACAAGATGAGATAGCTGAACTCAAATTAGTCTCACATAGGGAAGAAACAGAGTTTATAAAATATTGATATTTGTGACTTTTTTGCTTTAGCTTTGTTAAAGGAATTTTTAATTTTAAATTAAGTTTTCGCCATAGTTTCAGTCAAAGTTTCACACCAATAACTTTGAAAAAAAAACTTTTATACTTTGAAAAAGATACAAGATACAAGAACTGATCAATATTAATTTGAAAAAAACTTATCATTTATATTTTGAGCAAGTACACACATATATATATATGTGTGTGTGTTTTTATCTACTTTATATATATATATATATATATATATATATATATATATATATATATATATATATATATATATATATATATATATATATATATATATATATATATATATATATATATATGTGTGTGTGTGTGTGTGTTTTTATCTATTCATCAATGTATCTATTCATCAACGTACTTAATTTTATTATTACATTGTAATCCAAAATCATTTATAACAAATTAAAGAAAAATAAATTATAAAAACAAAAAATTTTTTTATAATTACCTAATGTTAACTGAAACAGGGATTATTTAATTCAGTAAAGCAAATTGCAATATTCTCAAAATTTTAAGTCACATTACAAAAATGTTTTTAAAAAGGCTTTTAAATGGTATTTAAATATATATTCAAATATTGAAGTTTTATGTTCATGAAAATTTTAAAAAGCTGATAAAATTCGCTATATTACAAAATAAATTTGACTTAAAAATAAGTATGTCAAGCAATAAAGCATGCCTCATTGTTTAAAAAAAATATATTTATGTGCACAGTTTTAATAAGACGTATAAATGTTAATTACAGCCCTCTACATTAGTGTCGGCATTGCTAAATGCCAACCTAACTGCCAATCTGACAGTTTCTGAAGTCATCAAAATATTACAGACCTCAGAAATTTAAAACTTAATTTAAAACTTAATTTCAAATAAGTAAAAAACAACAAAACAAATGTTTTATTTAAATTAAAAATAACATAATTAAAATAAAAATAGCAAAACAAATGTTTTATTTAAATTCTGAACAAATTAATTTAAAAACTCAACAGCAAAATGAACATTTTATTTTAATTCTAAATATACTTAATTATACAAAAATAAAAAATAAAAATAAAAAAAAGGAAGAGTTTAATTCTAATTCTTAATAAAATAACAAAAATAAAAAGCCATAATGAACTTTTTTTTAAATTCTTAATAAAAGCTTTTATTAAAATAGTAAACAAAACAATTTAAATAAAAACAAAAAAAAAAGGAATGTTTTATTTTATTTTTTTAACAATATAGGGCTATTCCAAGTAAAAACATCCAAAAAATTTTTATAAAATGCAACCTTAAGTCTTAGATTTCACTATACTTACACCACTCATATTTTAATAAGTTATGAACATTCCCAAAATTTTATCATATAAAAATAAAATTTTGGACAAAAATCATTTTAAAAAATGGTTTTGTTCTTCGTTTCTGTTTTGCATGGAATGGAAAGCTGAAAATGTGTCCACCTAAATGTTTTGAGGCAAAGAATCTAATAAAATAACTTAAAATATTGAAAACAAACATAACACCTTTAATTTTAATCTTTATCACAATTTTACTAGAGCGAGTTTAATTACAAAAATGCTAATGTAGTTAGATTTTTTTTTTTTTTTTAGATTTTGTTCTGAATAGTTTAGTTAGAGTTGTTACAAAAATTAGATCTTTTCTTAAACAGAAAAAAACTAAACTCTTCAGAACAATCTAAAATCTAAAAAAAAATTTAGAACAGAAACAGAAACAAAGACCAAAACCATTTTTTAAAATGGCAAATTTTTGTTGGTAAAAGGCAAAGTTTGAATAGTAATATCTTTAAAATTGTCTGAAATTAGATGATAAAAATTTGAATGTTCGTAACTTATTAAAATCTTTGAGCGGTGTAAAAATCAGCAAAACCTGAGACTTAGTTTTGCATGTACTGGATGTTTTCACATGAAATTGCCCCAAAGTTAAATAAAAAAAAAAGCTAAAATATTTAAAATTAAAATGGAAAAACGAACATCTTTTTAAAATTTCTAGTAAAATAATTTAAAAATAATAGCAAAACAAACATTCCATTAAAATTCCACAATTGAACCATTTAAATTGTAAACGAAATAATTAAAATAAAAATGGAAAAATGAACATTTTATTAATAATAAATTAAATAATTAAATAAAAGTTGGCAAAACTTTTGTTTGTTTCTCAAATTTTTAAGGAAACACCAACATTTAAAAGAAAAGTCTTGGGGTTAGTTTTTCTGCAAATATAATCCTAAATATTCGTATGGTTGTCAATTTGTCCAACCCAATTTCAAAATCTTTACCAACCCAAAACAGTTTTAGGTCAGCAATTTTTTGACAATCTTGTTTTTCCTAATTCCGAGGGTTGTAATTAAATGCAATTATTTCAATTATTATAATAATAACAATTATAATAATTATTGTAATTATAATAATTATTCTTATTATGATTGCTAGAAATATTTTCATTATTAATAAACTTAATACATGTTAACTTCATATTAGCAATTATTTCTTAGTATATATATTTGTTTTAAAAGCTTTCCATAGTATATATTATTAGAATTAATTAAATCAAGAGACCATTTATACCCCACTAATCATTATTTAACTCTTTTATCTTATTTTTATGCTTTAAATAATTTACTTCTATAGCTTAGTTAAATACCTAATTTAATTGAAAGGACATCATTTGCATCACACTTGTAGCCTTCAATTCCTGAAAAAAAAAATTTATTCAGTATATTATTTTATCATCTGATCAAAACACTATGACAATTTTATTAACATACTTGTATAATATCTTTATATAAATATATATATATATATATATATATATATATATATATATATATATATATATATATATATATATATATATATATACAAATAGTATTGCGTACTAAGGTAAGCAATCTGATGTCATACTGAAACAGCCTGCTGCTGGGAGCTTCAGTACATACATCGAATGACAAATAGCCTGACTCGCAGTGGAGTACTGCTACATCGACTGAGGGTTTGGGGTGGGGCAGCAATCATTTCATTCATCATTCTTTGTTTTTTTCTTCTTTTTCTAAAAAAGCTGTATGGGTTAAGATAAGCAAAAAAGTGAGCAAATGTTTATAGTGTGTATATATATATATATATATATATATATATATATATATATATATATATTATATAGGGCTATATATATATATATATATAGGGCTATATATATATATATATATATATATATATATAGGGCTATATATATATATGTATATATATATATATATATATATATATATATATATATATATATATATATATATATATATATATATATATATATATATATATATATATATATATATATATATATATATATATATATATAGGGCTATATATATATATATATATAGGGCTATATATATATATATATATATATATATATATATATATATATATATATATATATATATATATATATAGGGCTCAATTTAACGGTCGGATATTGCCGCCACCTGCACTGTTTTTGAGATCTGATTTATGGGGCCAACCAAACATTTTTAATAAAAAATTCAAAAACAGATTTTTGCCCTCCTCTAGCAGGTCTCAAGAATGGTCCGAGGGGTGGCGATGTCCGACCATTAAATTGAGCGCTATATATATATATATATATATATATATATATATATATATATATATATATATATATATATATATATACATATATTATTATTATTATTATTATTGTTATTATCATTATTATTATTTCAGACATCAGATGTATAAATATATATATATATTATTTTTATTATTATTATTATTATTATTATTATTATTATTATTATTATTATTTCAGACTAGATTTTCAGATTATTATTATTATTATTATTATTATTATCAGGGTGTAAACTAGCCCTGTGGGGTCCTGTCAAACGCGCTATTTCCAAATGCTCATAAAATTAAAATTCCCAATTTAAAATTGAAATCCCTTTCTCCAAATAAAGTTTGTCAAATTAAAATTTAATAATAATTCTAAAATTTATTGAATATTAATTATTATTCAATACTAATAGAAAAATGGCATAAGAAATCCTAATTTATCAAATGTTTGAAACTTGAAATAAAATCGCTATTATTGGTATAATTATGCAATTGCATAACTGTGAAAATGTCTTAGCGATTTTCTCAGCAACTTGTTTGTAAAATTCACTCCTCAATGTTTGCAAATTCTTTTTTTTGACTCAGTGTAGTTAAGGGGATTTATAGATTATTTGAATTCTTTTATATCCCAATGGGCACGGGACTCAAAAAAGATGTCTTTTCAACGTTTAAAAGTCAACCAATACATTTAAAAGACGTCCTAAGCATTTTAAAGATGTTTAAAAGGTGTCATTTTTAAATCCTGTGCCCACTGCATTGGAATTAGCCTGATTTTGTCAGAGTATTATTAATTCCAAACAAAAGCTTTAGACCTTATAATTTTTTTTGCTTCAAGTTTTTAAAATGCATTAAGAAACATTTTTCTTTTTTATATAATTTTCAAAGCTTATTTATTACTCCTTTTGTGAATCTAAAGAACACCATTTTTGAGCCTTTAGATCACTTCTGCTCAACAGCCTTAACTTAATTTTAATGAAAAAGTTTTGAAAAAGTGTCTTAATTTACTATAAATCCTAGCTCAAGAAAAAGTTTACACTTATAAAAAATTGCCAATAAATGATCAAAACAGATCATATTATTTAACTATGATGTTCATTTTACCTAAACAACGTATTTATTTAAAATCCTAAATTATTTGGACAAGCAATCATGATTTTAGGAAAAAGAAAATTAAAAATAAAAAAGAATCTTCAGTCTATTTTTTTTTTTTTTTTATACAAGCATTTTTATTTTGTGTAAATACTGCATAAATTTAATTTTTTTTAGTCATAATAACATTTTATGACTATGAATAAATTAAATATTTGTAGTTGTTTTTGCTGAGACTTTATAATTGTAACTTTACTTTGCTATGCGACTTATTTATAAAGATAATATTATTATCTTTATAAATAAAATTATTATCTCTATAAATAAGTCGCATAACAAAGTAAAGTTACAATTATAAAGTCTCAGCAAAAATAATCACAAATATTTAATTTATTCATAGTCATAAAATGTTATTATGACCAAAAAAAATTAAATTTAATTATTAATTTAAATATTATTAAATTTAACTCCCAATAAATGTAAAATATGAATCTTACGAGCTCGTGTTTACTATTTTCAAAACCTTTTCTTTTTTCTATTTTTAAAACATTTCTTTTGATGATACAATTTGTTACGTGATGGTGTAAGGATTCGTCCATAAAGGACATCAAGCAGAATTTAAATAATAATTAGAAGATCATTAGCGGAGATTTTAACTGAACATAAATCACTATTATATATTATATATTATACATATTCAAAAGAATACTACTAAAATGAAAACAGTAGTACAGAAAATTCTTAATAATAATTAATTAATATACACTGATTAAATAATATAAAAATATATAATTTTTGGAAATCGGAATTTAGCTTGCAGTGTTGTTGTGAAACCACTTTTAATTTTGTGATGATTTTATATTCATCTTCAATAAATGTTGCAGACGGTAATTTATTTTATTTTTGGCGCTGTCCAATCAATGTATGCAGCACAGAAGTGGAGTAGAAGAGGAAAATAAATAAGAAAGGAATCTACGCATTCCCGTAACACATTATAATATCAAGGGAAGGGGGAATGGATAAGGAAATATTTTGACAAATTCTCAATTTCATCAAAATGCTGTATCAAATTTATTCCTGGTTAACACCCAGTATATATATATATATATATATATATATATATATATATATATATATATATATATATATATATAAATATATATATATATATATATATATATATATATATATATCATAAAATAGAATACAGCTATCCTGCAGTTAGGTGAACACTTTTTAAACATAAAGGGCTTTAGTACATATACCGACTATCTTATAGCCTACTGCCAGAAAGTGCTCCTACATTGACTGAGGGTTTAGTATGGGGCAAAAATCTTTACTTTCATTATTTTAATAAAAGATTACTGCCCCATGCCAAACCCTAAGTTGATATAGCGACACTCCCTTGCAGCAGCAGGCTATAAGATGGTTGATGAATGTACTGAAGCCAAGAAATATTCTTTCATGTTTAAAAAGTCTTTACAGACAATATAATATAAATAATATAAGCAAAAAAAAAAGTATTTTATGCTGCTTAACTGAAGGATAACCATAGAATACTATATTTAAAGAAAAACTTTTTAACAATTTGAAGTTATTTAGCTCATTTTAATACTCAGGGAATAATAGTAAAATTTTTATTTAACTTATAAAATTTTTATATATTGTTAAAAAAAAATCTTTTTAGTTGAATAAACTAATTTTAAACAAGTATTCTGCAACACTATGTATGCATTTATTGTATACAACGTACCAATAGCAATAATATATAAAACTTGTGGGTCTTTTTTCTTATATTAGTAATACATATAAAAACCACAAAAATTAAAGAAGACAAAATTATTTTAGTTAATGTTGAAAAAAACAGTAAAAAATATAGCTAAATTTACCTGTACCAACAGCCATCTCAATAGTTTTTGTTGCTTTATTTTTATTTTTGAATCAGTAAATTTTGAAAAAATTATTTAATCTATGATATAAAATAGTAAAAATTAAATTCTAAAATTTATATAAATGTTATTTAATCTATAATATAAATATAAATATTAAATTTACAACTCTGTTCATCATTTTTTTAAATCATGATCATTATTTACCACTGAAATTGCGGGAAAGAGAACGGCGCGCCGTTCTTTAATATAGTTTGACGCAAAAGTTTAAATACAAGCCCTTTGTTTGAATAATTTGGTCCCTACCTTGTTTGTTTTTTTTTGAGCCCAGATAGGGGTTTGAACATATCAGGGACCCGGGGGAAATCCTTAACCACCTTTTCCAGTCCGACCCTGTCCCTAGCCCTACGTTTTAATAATTTGGTCCACTGCACAGTGGGCCAGACGTGAGCAAAACCCTCACCCTCTTTTTTAAAACTAACCTATACACAAGCAGAAAAATATTAGGCCGCACTAAGCCGCACATGTGATCAACTTTAAATTATACTCTCATACATAAATAAAAATTTACAACCAAATTTTCTGAGTTCAGCTGAGCTGAGCATTGTGAAGTGCTTTTATACTAAAATAGCACTTCACAATGAAATTGTGAAATAAAGCATTTTCATCATAAACCTAAAATAGGTCCAAGCCCCAAATAACCTATAATCTTATGATGAAAATGCTTTGCAGCTACGATACCAAGGTGTACAGAATAAGGGGGAGTCAGAGAAAAGTCAAAGGTTTCAATCAACCTGAGAAGGCCAAGGCCTGCTTGAAGGACTAGTGTATGATGCATGCCATCACCTAGATTCTTATATAAAAAAAATTATGACAATAAAGTTCAATTTTATTGAAAGTTGTATGTTTATATTCAAAATTCAAAGAAATTAAGTACATAAAATCAATAAAAATAAATAAAACACCGTCTTGACAACCCATGACCACACCAACCTGTGCAATCATAACCAATCGTGGAAAGATTTAAAATCCCCAACTCTAACTATCTGTATTAAGACATAAAACTGTTCCATCTAATTGAAAAATTATTGGGGCATCCCAGGACCAGCCTTGACCACCCCTAAAATGATCACCTGTATGGCGATGACCACTCCCAGAGACCAAATATGCTCAGATTTAATTTTCCTGATTTTAATTACCTATATTTAAACGTACAATATGTATCATCTGATTAAAAAAACATAGGCGGTCATGACCACTTTTAAAGATTGAATTTCCTGATTTTTAAACATACAAAATGTTGCAACTAATTTAAAAACCATCGAGACAACCAACGACTACCCTTGATAACTCTTAAAATAACAATGTGTATGGTCATAACCACTCTAAACTTAAAAGGAAGTTCAAAATTGAAATCCTTTGTCCAGTGGCGGATTGAGGTTTAGTGTCGCGGGGGGGCCAAGTCAATGCTTGCCCCCCCACGCCCTATACTAAATCCGCCACTGCCTTTGTCCCAAAAACCCCATAAACAAGTTTCGTATATCTTTTTATTTTTTTTTTTTATTTTTTTATTTAGATGCCACAAGAAGACCTTACAGTCTTATCACAGAGCACCGCGGATGAGCATTTAATAGAAAATTTACGCCTCCTTCCTAACCGATGTCGCAAAACTTGCCCAAAGGTGGGGTTTAAACCAAGGATCTTTTGTTTCTGAGGCAAGTGCGCTACCACTGCACCACGGCTGCTCATTTCTATATTTAACCCATTATTAGTTTTTCCATTTATAGACAATTTTGGCTCAGTTTGCACTGCAGTGGATTAGAAAGGATCAAAAGTAAAAGTCGCTTATTAACTGATTGATTCATGAGAAATCGAAGTAAGAACTCTTAAAGCGTGTAGATGAAATAAATGTAAAAGAAGAAGTACGTCATTTTTTTTTTCAGTGGTTATATTAAAATCTTTTTAATTGTTTTGTATTTTGTTTACAACATGTTGTGGTTTCAAAAAAATGTATTAGTTTTTTAATTTAACTTAAAATTAGTTTTAAAAATGACAAAAGAAGAAGACCTAAGAGAAAAAATTATGCACAAATATGTGGAAAATTCCAATAGTAGCTACAATTCGATAGCAAAAGCGTTAAATATATGTTAAATATATAAAGATATCATTTAAAAAAGCATCAAATGGCTTCAATTCTTATTCTGTGCACAAGCTTATACCACCAAAGCAAAAGTTCGAAATTTTATTAGATTCCCACAGGAATAATTTGATTTTTTTTTTTATATTTGATCTTCTTATATTATTATATTAAAGTTATTACTTGTTTGGAAATAAAAATTGAAGAGTACTTTTTTTTAGTTGTTTTTCTACTTTCACATTTATTTCGTGTACACGCTTTACTTAATAAAATTATAAAAATATTTATGTTCTGAAAATTTAGCTGGCAAATAGTTCCCGACAAACGATAAAATGATTTTATGATGTGAAATATGAAAATAGTAAAATGCTTTCTATTTTTTGCTAATTTTTTGCGTATTTTGGCAGTAAAACACAGTCCAGAATTTGGTAATATTAACCATTTATATTTTATTACTCCAAGCATAGAAAAAGTCAATGTTTTTTACATAGTTTTTTACTGTTTTTTCGATGATTGAAGTAAAAAATTTGTAGAGAAATTTCTATAGCTACTCAATCCCCCCCTTTCCTCCCTAATTTTTATGATGGATTATGATAGAATACATTGTGCTGATTCACAACTATATAATAACACCCATGATAAACTTTATGTTCATGAAAAGAACAACTTTTGAAAGGAATGATAGAATTCCTTTCTTTGTTTGATCCAATCATGAATGAATATCTTAAAAGGATACAAATTGAGTGTAAAAGACATGTCACTATTTTAGTAACAATACTCAAAATGAACTTATTTAAGTACAATCAAATTGTATTAAAAACATTGGTTAAGAATCATTTCATTGGTTAAAAAGACAAAGTATTTTTCTTAAAAACAAAAAAGACAAGTATCATTCTTGAAAAAGCAACATATATAAACCGCGCAGAACAAATCACAATGATAATAAGAGTTGTGTTTAATCTTCAAGAACTGCATCATATCAGTCTAATGATAATAAGTTAAACAAATGTAGCATACTACGATTACAAGAACACTTTTGGGGATTTGTATCCTTAACAGAAACCACATATGAAGCTATGAGCCACGTTCTGATAAATCAACTTAAAATTTTTACATTGTCAATTGATGGCTTAAGAGGTCAGGATTATGATAATAGAAGCAAAATGAAAGGAAAGGAAATAGGTCTGCAAAAAAAATTCTGGGTATTAATCCTTGTTTTTCCAGCTTCCACCAGGGCCGCCGATTGCGGGAAGGGGGGGGGGGGAAGGGACAGTTTGTCCAGGGCGGCAGATATCTAACAATGTTGTTCACTCAATAGTTTAATAACCATTACTGGCTATTAAACTATTGATTGATACTCGTTAGTTAAACAGCTTTGATGCCTAAACTTCTATTAGGTACTAATTACCACATGTGTACGACACATTGTTTAAAATTAATAAAGATTTTACTCAAAAAGGTCTTTTTGGTACCATAACAAAAGTTGAAGTTGAAGGTCTTTTAAAGAGCATATTGTCATTGTGGCAGTTGTAACATTACATAAAATACTATTTCAAATCAAAAATACAAGTAAATTGTCAAAAAAAAAAAACTTTATTCTTGAGAATATTGTAAATGAGCTCAAAAATTCAGAGGAATATTTAAACAACATAAGGAAATATATTGAATTTGAGAGAGTTTTAGTTGATGCTCAAGAGATCGCTGAAGAACCCATCTTGAGACAATTTTTCAACCAGAGATAAAAAAGAAGAAAAGGAAATTTTTCACTTTCAAGTCAAAAGATGACCCTCTTGATAATCCGAAAGAGAATTTCCGAGTTAATGTGCAGCCGTGGCGCAGTGGTTACAGCGCTTGCTTTATAAGCAGGAGAATCCAGGTTCGAAACGACCTCTGGACATATTTTCGCGTCACGGTAAGGAAGGAGACGTGAACTTGCTGGTTAAATGCACTTCCGCGGTGCTCTGTGACAAGATTCTTAGGTCTTCTTGGGGTACCTAAATAACAAAAAATAAAAAGTTAATATCTTTTTTGCAATAATAAACACTGCAATTAGTTCCGCAAATATGCGATTATCGCAATTAAACGAAATTAAATTTTTTTTTTTTTTTCTTTATATTATAAGTAACTTGATGATGAAGATCAAAAGTTCAAAAAAAAACTTAAAACTAAAGATTTTATAAAAGAGTTTTCAAAAATACACAGTAAATAAAGGTCTGCAATGTTGAATTTAAAAAAACAAAACATTGAAATAAAAAAAAAAAAAACAAATTAAAAAAAAAAACAATTTTTTTTTACCATGAATTTGTTTGCCTTTGTAATTTGTTGTTTAATAAAAGGTATGCACTATATACGGAGGTAATTCTTTTAACTCAAGTAGTGAAATCTATACGCACTTAAGCTGTTTGGCGGTGTCCTGTAAACAGCGAAGCGGAGTTCATTAATTTGAAAGGAATGTTCCAGCAAAAAAGGCAGGGCTCACAAAACTTGAAACGTTGGTACTTAAATTAATGACAATCAAATATAACATTGCTTAAATCATACTAGAATTGCAATTTTTGCTAGTATTAAAAATATTTTCACATTTAGAAGAGGTGGCATTTTGAATTCTCGCCAAAGGCGCAAAAATACCAAGCAACGGCCCTGCATCAGATATTTGAATTTGCTTTACTGGTTTAGGTTACATTGAATTTTAAACTCAAATATACATTTTTTTATTATAAAACTGATGACAGATAAAACCACATAGTGCCACCCATATAATACAAAACCAAAAAAAAATATGTCAAATTAATTTTGCAAATTAATAATGCCTGATTGGTCATTTTAAAATGGAGATACCATATTTAAAATTGAAAAAAATAAAAATCTCAAAATGAAAAAAGTCAGCAGTTAAAAATAAAAATATCAGTCAATTAACACTCCTTAAAAATCACCAGAGCTATAGGAATTCACTTTTTTATTATCTAAGTATCCTTTATGAAGAGATTCGAGTTTTTTTTAGTTTTTGCAAATCGAAGTTAATATACGATGGTTATTTTTGCTTTTGATCCTTTTTAACTAGTTTTGAAATAGTGACTGAGCCTAGTAATATGAAGGAACTTAAAATTTTAAATTAAAAAACTTAGATTTTATCCCATCTCGACCATTATTATAATTAATTACTTCATAATTTATACAACTTTCAAATATTCTCAGGAATATGTTTTTAAGAGAATGTAAAAGGAAAAAAGTCCATAAAATTAAATTAAATGCTTCATTTGATTTTTGCGTATGACGATGTAAACATTTTCCTTGCAAATCAAAGTCAAATAAATCTTTAAAAATAGGTCGTATTTTATGAATATAAATATGCATTATAAGTAGCCATATAACTCCTTATAGACATATTACTCCTTAGAACAGATAGAATGATGAATGCTATCATCACTATTTATCAAGGCATATAAATAACAATTTTTGTAACTTCAATTAACTCTCATTTAAACTTTCATACTCTTTTAATGCCATCAATTTTCAAATTTTTTGTGTGCAAACTTTTCTCTGTTTCTAATATACTGTATATATACTTTTCTTATTCTATTTGCAAGTAAAATTTGAAATTAAAAACTTTAAATTTAAAATTTACAAGAATTGAATTCATATCAGCAAAATATATAGAAAAAAAATAGCGCTGAAATAAAAAATAAACAAAAGCATACTTTTGTTTATTTTTTATTTTTTTTTTAATTTCAAATATAAACAAAAGACGCCTTTGGTAAAAAAAACTTTCTTCAATTTTTTTCAAAACTCATTTTGCACTTGGACTCAATATGCATTTTGGAGACATTTTCACTAACTGTCTTCATTTATAAACGACCATCGTTTGAACGGTATTTAATTGCCGAACAAAGTCATAAGAATAAAATATTTCTTGTGACTATGTTTTGAAAAGAATCTTTTCAATACGGAAGTCAGTAATTAAGTAATAACCGTTTATTAAAATTATTTCATAACGATCATTTCGGTTATTATTTTCTATGTTGTACAACGTAACCATTAAAGTAAACCGATAAAACCGGTAAAAGTTTAACCTTGAATTTTTTTGGTTTATTTTAACCTAAAAAACTCTATTTGAAAAACGTTTTTGCGTTTGTCGTTTTCGTTTTACGTTTCGTTTCGTTATGCTTTAACGTTTTTAGATTGCTTTTTAAAAATTTAATGGTTGAAAGTATAATCACAAAAAATAGACTTCTTGCCTTATTATTATTATTATTATTATTATTATTATTATTATTATTATTATTATTATTATTATTATTATTATTATTATTATTATTATTTATCATAGTTAAATAGGTTTCTTGTTTTATTTCTTGTGACTATGTTGAAACTAATAAAACTAATAGATTTTTAAATTTAACCTAAAAAACATAACAAAATAACCTACATTAACCTATCTAGACTAGATAGGCTTTTTGTAGATTCTAGTAGACAGGCTATATATAAATACCTTAAAAACAACCGGTGTAGCATTATTAGCAATTATTCACTATTAAATAAAAATCACTATAGATCAAATGTTTGTTATATATATATATATATATATATATATATATATATATATATATATATATATATATATATATATATATATATATATATATATATATATATATATATATATATATATATATATATATATATATATGTATATATATATATATATATATATATATATATAATATATATATATATATTTGTATATATATATATATACATGTATATATATATATATATATATATATATATATATATATATATATATATATATATATCACTAATAAAAATCACTATAGATCAAATGTTTGTTATATATATATATATATATATATATATATATATATATATATATATATATATATATATATATATATATATATATATATATATATATAATATATATATATATATATATATATATATGTATATATATATATACATGTATATATATATATATATATATATATATATATATCGCTAATAAAAATCACTATAGATCAAATGTTTGTTATATATATATATTTATATATATATATATATATATATATATATATATATATATATATATATATATATATATATATATATATATATATATATATTTGTATATATATATATATACATGTATATATATATATATATATATATATATATATATATATATATATATATATATATATATATATATATATATATATATAATATGTTAAGGTTGATATAGAATTCTGTTAACTATAGTATTGTTAATTCTATGCTAAAATAGAGATATGAGAAACTATTTGGAACTTTTTTAAAGGTAAAGCATTTTTTGTAACAGAGATTTTAATTAAAAGTTAAGATTTTAAATAATACTTACACATAATAAATTTATGTCAAATAAACTGCATAATGTCAGGATATATTTTCTATCTTTATATTTATTCTTAGATATTTTGAAAAGAAAGACAACTTTGAAAAGAAGCATAGTTGCAAAAATTAATTATGTCATTCCGTAATAAGCTAAAGAGTTTGATTACAAAAGAGGTAATTTATTTGAATTGTGAAAATTGTTTGATTACTTGTAAAAAATGTTTAATAAAATTAATTTTTTCAACTGTTACAGAATGATGGAGCGTTTAATGTTCATATTCATGTTAATGAAGCAACAACTGCTACAAATGATTTCATGCAGGTAAAATTACTTTTTGAATAAAATTTTTGTACAAGGCAGTTTTATAGTTAAATAAGTTTTGTTGATGTTTTTTTCTTTGTTTAGCAAGAGAGCATGCTTCGGGAATTTGCTGATGATCCAACTCCTGACAATGAGGTATTTTTTGAATTAAAAAAAATTATATATGTATATATATAATTTTTCTCTTACAATTTCATGATTTCCTTTGATTTAATATGAAGTATAGTTCAGTAAAAAAGTTTTTTTTCTAGGTAATAGAGAGCATTGAGAAAATCTACTTTAGTAACATGGAGTTTGATGCAAGTTCATATGAATTAGAGGTGCTTTTTTTTTTTATATATATTGAGTTTTTTTTATTTTTTCAGCTATTAGTTTTTCAGAAGAAAACAAAAATAACTTTTAGGGAATTAACAAGGTTGCAAGTAACCATTATTAGAGTTAAAAGTTACTGGAAGAAAAAAGATGAAGTTTATAATGCAAGATAAATAATTATTAAGCGACTTGAAAGATTGCAAGTTATATGAATCAGAAAAACAAGATAAAGGAAGCGAATTCCAAAGAACTGATGTTCAAGAAAAAAACTAGATGAAAAAGAATTTTTGTAGCATTTAAGAACAGTCACAATGAAAATATGAGACTTGATTAAATGATGAATAACAGGAAAAATAATTTTAGTAGATAACACAAGAGGCATTAGTTCTTTGGAGCAGCACCCATTATAGTATTTATGTGACAATGGTGGTAGATTGGCTGCAAGAGCAAGTCCAACTATGTTTACAATGTGTTTTTACCTCTTGTCTAAAAGAGAGAAGGCATCATTTAAAGATCCCCTCAAGATAAAGAGATGTAACTTAGCAGATGCTAATTTTACAAAGGATTTGATATATGGTTTCTAAGAAAGATAAGAAGTAAGTTAAACCTAGAAGACGAAGGGTAGATGACTTATCAAGTACGTTACCATTCATAAATATAGGAAAATCTAAATTATTATGATAATAATTAGCTATAACAAAATCAGGCAAAACATCTTTCGATGCTATAGCAAAAGTGAGATCCTTTTTAAGTACAAATGCCCCCTCCAAGCAATCAGAGAATGTTGGCTTCTTATCAAGACAAGAATAATTGGTAGTGTCATCAGCGAACAATGCCACCTTTGATGTGAGAATTTGTGGGAAATTGGTAATGTAAATTATAAAAAGTATAGGGCTAAAGATAGAACCTTGAGGAACTTCTGAAGTTACAGGAAATGAAGAAGAGTGCTGTCCATTGAGGACAACTTTAATACTACAATTGGTAAGAAAGGATTCAATAATCTTAAAGATGTTACCTGATAAGCCGTAAAAAAAAGGTTAATGGAGAAGACTAGCATGCTATACTTTATCGAAGGTTTTAAAAATGTCAAGAGCAATAGCTATAACTTCTCAACATCTATCTAATGAATTATAAAACCTATCGGTTATTACTGTTAACAAATTAGTTATAGAACAAGAAGATCGAAATCTATATTGATCATCAGAAAGTAAATTACTAGATTTAAGATGAAAGATAAAGTGTTTGTTAATTAAAGAGTCAAAAACCTTTCTTATGATAGTATGAAAACTAATAGGGCGGTATTTAGTTGAGTCAGATTGCTCTCCAGAATTTTTGAAAATAGGGATATCAGATGCCAACAGGATAGAAAACAAGTCTCTGATAACCACTTGTAAAATAGTTACTAATATATTAATAGTTGTTATTCTATGAAATTTAAAATTATAGCACTGATATGAAATGGTTTTTTGAAATATTGTTACTTTCAAATTGTCATAGGATTTTTTTGTATGGAGCCATTTTGATTTTACTATTGGTTTTGTTGTTTAAATATACATGTGATTATGTAAAAAAGCACTAGTATAGTTTTAAAGATGGAATCAGAATATGATATTTGTTTTCTATTAAAATTATTTGAACTAAATCAAAATGACAATTACACATCATATGCAGTTTATCAAAATAAACACTAGAGTCAGAATAGAGACCTGGTAACCATGGCAAGTTGTATTGGTAACTTTTTTCTTTTATTAAAAATATTTTAAAAAGTGTAATAATAATTTATATAGCTTTTTTTAAATTTAATTATAAGACAAGCTATATAAGTTAAATTAAAAATTATATAGATAATATTATATATAAAAATACTAATGATAAAAGTTTTCGACGGCATTGAAATTTAAAAATACTGTTTAATAGTGTACTTTAGATTTATAGTTTGTGTACTGTGTACTTTAGATTTATAGTTAGATAAAAAAATAAAAAAAAATAGGTTTGAACAAGATTCTGTGTACACTTAGTATTTTATCAAACCATTGATTTCATAGAATAGCGTAGACTAAATCAACCGGATTAAAACAATTATTAAATTATTCAGAGAGAGATAAATTTATTATAATGGAGATCTGTGCTATCAGTATTTAATATAAACATTAAAATTTGTTTACATCATTAGTAACTCTTACTTAACTGGTTTGCTAACTCTCAAAAAACTGCATTGACTCATTTAAAAGATAAAATACTAATATATAAAGTCAAATTCTTTGTTGTTAACTTATTGTGCAACTTCTTTTTACAAAGAATACATCTAGTACACTTTTAACTGGTTTTATAAATTTTCAGTTTTTTTTTATTTCTAAATTATATTATTTCCTGAATTTTGTAGATTATTTTCATTTATAGACAGTTAGTGAGAAATTAACATTTAACTAGCAAAATATATATGTATTCACTTGGCTTGGAAGCAACACCTGGTTTTAAAATGCATCCTTTATGTCAAAAAGAAGTGATACAAAAATTAGATGGTTGGTCTGCATTACAGAACCACAATGATTAAGATGTTTTTTTAGAATACACATTTTTTGATGAAGATATAAAAGTTGTACAAGAAAAAGAGGTTATAAACACCAGTTTTGATAAATTAGTTATCATGTTCATTTATCAAGTTTTATAGGACTCCACAACGATAAAATTTCTCTTGGAAAGATAGTTAATGTAAGCTGCTAATTTTATGTCACAAAAGCTGTAAGTTATCCTCAATTGTAATGCAACAGACCTGAAAATGATGTTACTAAGCAGCTTGATGTTGAATATCAGAAAAAAACAGTTTGTAGACATTTTTATTTTCAAAATTAACTTGATTTTTTTTCTCTCATTATTTATAAAAATTATTTAAAAAAAAAACTGTAACTTAAATCAGAAAAAAAAAAACAATTCTGATTTGTTACACACTTAAAATTCTATGTTTTAAAAAAAAAAAAAAAATCATGTTTAGGATTGTCAAACCGTATACGTACTCGCTGTCTTTAACACCCCTCCCTCCTTGTACGCGTTCGTACGCTTTTGGAACCTCCCTCCACAGAAATCGCTTTTTTATTTGCCCTAAATTCAATCTTTAAACTAATCCCATCATAAGTAGTACACAAATTTTTTTATAAGCAATTTATGAATTAATTAGACATAAATAGCCTCTGGTTTCTTAAAGACAGGTTACTTATTTATTAACTTCTATTGAGTGAATTTTTTAGATTATTAAATTTCTTATATAGATATTAAATATTTCATTTCAACTATATATAATACATATTTTTTTAATGTTTTTTAATCAGCAAATAGAGCAACTTTAAATAAAAGAAAGGTCGTTAATTACTGTCAGAAAGGTCGTTATTTTAGATGAGAAACAATATAGGGGGAAAAAACATTGCGGTTGTAACCATTTTTATTTCCAGTAACCCTTAGTTACTCTTAGTTACTCTTCTTCATTTCCAGTAACATTTAAAAGTACTGGAAATGAAGACAAGTTAATGTCTTCAAGAATTACTTAAATACTGTAAAAAGAAATGATTTAATAATCTCAAAACCTTTATATTAAAAAAACTAATAAAAGAGAAAAGACTAATCATAGGATAATTAGAGAGGTCAGTGTGCTTTTTAGAGTTTTTTAAAATTGGAACTACTTTTTTTATCACCGATTATTACTTTAACAGGAACCAAAAAGATTTCTGGAGAACACTTTTGTAAGACTGTGATGGAAATCTTGTGTAAACCACAGGCTGTAGGAGAGTCTTTTTTAAGAATTAAAGCCAAAGTGATTTGGATGCCTAACAATGGGTTAATCTGTTTAACTGAAACAGCAGGAAGAATATGGCCATTAGACTCAATAGTCAAATTAGAGGAAAAGTTCTTTGCAAATAACTATGCCTTATTTTAGGGAAAAGTAATAAGACCAGACCTATAAATCAGAAATGGAATGTTAAACATACTTTAGTTAATGACACTGTTAAAGATTTTCTAAAAGTCTCTAGAACCTAACTTCTGAGATAGTATACAAGATTAAGTAAACTGAGCTTAAAAATGGAGCTTAGCATTAGACTATATAGAAAATGCGCAAGTAGGTAATAAGTGGAGTAGAATGAGGCCTGACTTAAAACTGACAAAATGGAATAAAAGCTAACATACCTGCTTGGACCCAGGAGATCAGGTAAGCAATGCATTTATGCATATATAATATGAATATATATGGATATAAACATATGTTTGCTATTTACTTAGATACTGGCCTACAATATCTTTATATTTTTATATAAACTTTAGTATTTATATTGAGTAGTGTTTGCGGAAAGAGAAGATGATGATCAGACTGATGTGTGATATGACTCTAACAAGACAAGAAAAGAAGCCATAATCTTAAACAGAGATTAGAAAAAACATTTTATTGAACAATGTTTTTCAGAGAAGAATTAAGTGATTTAGGTATCAGTATAGAGGAAGCAACTTCAGAAGTAAATGGTAGAGATAGAAGTAAGAAAACTTGTAAAAAATCCATTACATAAGCTATGAACAAGCTTTAGTTAAGGAAAGAAGATGCTTGAGATGTTTATTTTAGAGAAACAGTATAAGGGGATATATTAATATTTTTGAAGCCCCTGTCTTCTAAAATTGATCTCATTTGACCCTTTTTAAAAGAACCATGTTAAATTATATGATCATGTTGGTTCAAGCAAAACTTAATACCTCTCCAAAACAAGTCATTTTTTTGATGGAGAAATATCTCCTTAAATTTATTGTAGCTTGAAAAATTAAATTAATTTAGAATTTCTAAAATAGTTTCACAAAGTGTTTGTCATATGCAGGACATTTGTTAAATTTGGTTGGATTGTCTTGAGCTGATACTTGCATAAAATATATCAATCATTTTAAAATAGGAATGCAGATTAAAATTTTTTTTGTTCCAAATGATGGGGTATTCTACAAAAACATTTACAATAAAAAAAAAGAGTAAAATCTCTGTCAAACCTAAAATAGGGTGGTCTTGAAAGATTGTTATAAAGCTATTTAAGCTCTTTTATGTTATTGTTGACTATAAAAAAAAAGAAATCAAATTAGGAAAAGATTTTATGGTGAAACTGAATCAAATAAGAATGTTTTGACTCCTAAAAATTAAAACAAAACATTTTTGGCACTATCCATTCAAGTTTAAAACAAAGTGTTGTGGTGTATGAAGGAGCTCACATAGTTTTTTGAATTTTTGATTGATGTTAATATATCCAATGAAAATTTAAATAAAAAATTGAAAAAGCAATAAAGATATTAATGATTCACTATTTGATGAAGTCCACAATTTTTATAAAAAGTAATTATCAAGAATTTATCTTTTTATCTTTACATTTATCACATTTATCTTTACGTATGTAAAGGTAAATGTAATAAATGTAAAAATAAAAAAAAATAAATGTAAATATTAACTCAATAGAAAAAAAAGATAAATATTAAAAAAAAATTAACTTAATAAAAGTATTTTATCTTTTTGTATGTTGACTAAAGAAAAAAACATGAATGTTTCTTTTCTAATGTTTTGAGAACTTACCAAGATAAAGTTAATCAAGAATTGTTTAAGATCAACAATGACATAATTTGAATAATTTTGCTCTTCCTACATTCAATGGCAAGAGGCAGTTTGCTATATTATCCAGTAATGACAATATATTGAAAACTCTTGACATTTTTTGATTTTTTTTTTTTTTTTTTTTTTTAAATAAGGTTTTCTGCAAACCTTAACTTCTTAACTTAAATAATATATATATATATATATATATATATATATATATATATATATATATATATATATATATATATATATATATATATATATGTGTGTGTATATTTGTTATTTTTAGAAACTTCCTGAAGTTCTTATTGAAAAAGATCTTGACAGCTACAGAAATACTCTTCGGCGTCAACTCCAAGCAGTTTGTTCTTTTTTACACTTTTATTTTGTAATATCTATAGGGTTATATCTTTATTTATAGTTATAGGGTTTTTTGAAGTGAAAGTTTTTTATTGTTAATATTGGATTCTCTAGTAAATATGAATTGTTATGACATATTGGCTTACAGGAATAATATTTATGATATTAAAGGATTACAGAAATATAAATATTGTTTAAATAATATAATTATAGTTTAAAGATAATTAAATATATTTTTTAACCCGTTAACAGTCCATGTCATATTATTACGCAAATTTAAAGTGGTTTCTAAATATCAATGCTGTAAAGTTACAGTTTTATGTGTTTCCTCATATTTCCTTTTTGTTCATCAGTAATTATGCATATAATCGTCACAAAGTTTATTACTACATAATTACAGCTTTTGTTTCAATAATTCATTTTTTTGTTTCAATAATTCACTTTTACGCGTGTTCACTTTAATTTTAAATATGACAAATAAGGAAGTTCTTTCAGTGCAAAAATAGAAAATTATACATTTGATGAATCAATAGTAAAAAGATATATTTGATGAATGGTTTTTGAAACGATAATAAAAGATTAATGCTCAAAGAAGGTGTGCGGTAGGTTACAAACACAAAATTCAAAAAGGTTCAAGATATGAATGTATAGAATGTGATGTAGGACTTTGTGCAGCTCCATGCTTTTCCAATTATCATACAAAGAGTGATAATATATATTAGTGAATACATTTTTAAAATTATGTGTTTATTTAGTATGATTTATATATTCTTAAACTTGAGTAATAGCATTTTGTAGTGTTTAATAATGTTAAAAATAGTAAAAAACTATTTTTATTCTATTAGTATAAAAGCACGATAATTTTAAAAACATGGGAAATTTAGAGACCACTTCACAAAAAAAGCTGAACTAATAGTGACCGTATTTAAAAAACAACACAGGACTGTTAAAGGTTTAAATTGTTTGCTAGTGCCTTAAATAACAAATTTAATTTTTTTATATAATAATTTTGAATTACCTCTTACAAAAAAAAAACCTTTTACATTTTTAGTTTTATTGTTTGCCTCCAAAAAAAGTTTCAAGTGTTAGTATTTTACATCTGTAAATTAAAGCAAGCTGAGCTGTGGTGAAGACAAATTACTTTTGAACTGTTTAATTTTTTTAAGCTGTCAAAAAACTCTTTTTTTTTGAATATATTATTGTTGTTTTTATATAATACATCTTATACTATATAGAAATATGCCACTTATGACTCCATTTTCGAAATAGGGATATGAGATATTTTGTAAATTTTTAAATATTTAATATAGTAGGTCATTTTTAAAATGATTCAAAAGGAAATTTTTTTAAGTTTTAGACCATATATGATAGATGAGATTTTGAAATTTTAAAGTTAAACAATTTCAAATTTTAGCATGAAAGTTTTGTATTTTTTGCAGAATATGTTTTACTTAATGTTTTACTAAGTTAAAAAAAAATATATTTAGCAAAAATACTTTATTTTTGCTAAACATATTTTTCTAATGCTTTGGTTATTCTAAAAACTTAGTAAATCAATTCCTAGAAATTTCTTAATTACAACCTTTAAACATAAAAAAAGTTTAGAGTTTATGGTAAAAAGTAAATCTATTAATATTAGTTGTTGCTGATCACCAAGGAGTTTTTTGCTAATGATGATGGCCATTTTGAAAAAGCAAGTGTTGTCTATCAAATTCTGTGAATAGTTTAATGGTGATGGCCATTACAAATTTCATTTAATGTTTAAATGTAGAATTTTGTACTTGTAGAGTGCACAACATCATAAAAAAGCAAAATTAGAAAAACTAGAAAACAAAAAGTTTTCAGGTGCTCAAAATTTATGTCGTAGTGTGCTCTACTATTTTTCGAGACTTGTAATAGTTAACAATAAATCTTTTTCATTGTTGTATATTTTTATATAGCTAAACTTATTAATTTTAATAAGTATATTTTTAAAATATTGGAAAATACTTAGTAAACATTTTTACTTTTGCTCATTGGTTATTGCTAATTGGTTTACAATAAGCATGATAAGCATGATGTCATAGAGAGTAATAGTTCCTAGTGTAAATTATTCATGATAACAGATTTGTTAAAAGTATTTTTTCAGATTTAAAAAATTATACGAAACATTTCAATACAATTAATAACAATAACAATATATATTCTGAAATAATAGTTTACATTTACTAATAGTACGAGTACTAATCAAAGGTAAACACCAATTAAATAATAATAGCAATCATATAATAATAATAATAATAATGATAAAAGCAATAATAATAATAGCAATAATAGCAATTGTAATAATAATAATAATAATAATAATAATAATAGCAATAATAACAATAATAATAATGTAAATTAAACGAAGACGATTATAATAATACCAATAATACTATTAAATATAATAATGACAATAACAATGATTATATCAGTAATTATAATAACAAAAGCAATAATAGTAATAATAATAATAGTAATGAAGTTAACAACAATAGTAACAACAATAATAATATTAACAAATATCACATTCATATATTAAACAATTCCAATAAGTAATAATGGCGGTAATAAAAATGCAAATAAAATGTAAGTAATATTAACATCACATATAATAATAATACTAATAACAATAGTAATAATAATCTATTATAAGCCTAAGATTTTAATTTGCGTATTTTTCTATCAAAAAGTCAAAAAGACGGGTTTTAAATTGTGAAAAAGTGTTGAGGGATTGAAAATGAAAAGGTAAATTATTCCATGATTTTACGCATTGGTTTGTAATAGAATTATCACCGTATTTTACCGAACAGCGATTTGGGATAGATAATTTAAAGTTACTCAAAGATCGAAGGTAATAACGAGAACTTTTTTTAGTGGTAAAAAAATTGGAGAATGACGGAGGGAGGTTTACTTGTTTATGATTCCAGACAAATAGACAATTTAATAGATAAACAAGATCACATAATTTGAGTATTTTTGATAGAAAGTAAAGGATGTCAGAGTTAGAATGATACTGTTGAAAGAATATTATTTTTAAAGCTTTGTTTTGTAGGTTACATAACCTTAAAAAAGCATTAGACTTGCATTGTCCCCAAACCTGACAAGCGTATCTAAGATGAGATCCAAAAATTGCATGGTGTATATTAAGTAGTGTTTCATAATTGACATAGTGGCGAATTTTGGCTAGCATCCCATTTGATCTACACAATTTTACTGCTAAGTTTTTAAGATGAGAGGAAAAGGATAGATCTGAGTCAATTTCAGTAGAAAAATTTAAGTTTATGTATCAATGTATTCGAATTTATTAAGTACCTTTAATAAATTCGTATAACTCTCTAAAATAGCGGTTTAGAGAGTTACCCTAATTGATAACATATTTACAAATAATACTATAAAATGTGACATTCAAAATGGAATAATAAAATCTGACATAACTGACCATTTTCCAATATTTCTTTTACTTTCATTTTGATTTCTTTTGAAATTGAAATTAAAAAAAAGCCAAATTTTAATCTATAATGGATAAAATATTTACTAGAATTGAAGTGTAAGTAGAAACAGTTCATGAGAAGGCAGATAAAAGGTAGAAATAGTATATTGATGTCTCATTTATAATTTGAAATATCATCACATTTAGAAACTATTTTTAAAGCTAAACATCTTAGAAAACAGCATTTTCCTTATTTTTTTTATATTTTATTCCTCATAACACTATTATCAATCTATCTTGTCACTAATCTAAATCTGTATTTTTATAAACTATCATTAATTTAACTTAACCTTTATTTTTATAAACAAAGAAACAATGAGTAAAAAAACAACTAGCAAAAGGAGACTGATTGAAATTATTTTTACTGTATACAATTCGAGTTTTATAGTATTTTGTTGAAGAACAATGTGAGGTTTTAAAGATATATTAAATATTAAATAATAAGAATCATTAGGAAAATCAAGCAGACAAAAATCATTTAAACTAATTTGTTCTGGGTTCTAACCAGAGATAGCTGATATGAGGTGTTTAATGGTTTCTTAATTAAGTTGTTAGTCTGCAAAATAAAAACTTTGTTTAGAAGCAAAACATTCTATAGTTTTTTATTTTTATTTTTATTAACAAACAAAAATTTCAAATGGATAATTTTATTTTCTTAAAAGATATATTTTTAAAGTAGTAATATGGCTATATTATATGTTGATTGTTATTTTATATCACACAAAGTTTTATTTTATTTTTATTCAGTTATTATATATGACACAAAGATTTTTATTCAGTTATGAGTAATAAAAGTGATGTTTATTCAGGTTTCAAAGGAAATGTCAAAAAAGATTCTTGAAAAACAAACAGCATATGTCCGAGTAAGAATTTTTAATATTAGTTTTGCAAAATTTTTAGGATTTTTAGTTTTTTAGTAAATAATATTTACCAAGACTAAGTATGTAAATTAAAGATTGAGTTAAAGATTGACTTAGATTTACATTGCCTTTAATCTACATACTTGTATGTAGATTAAAGACAATGTAAATTTAAGTGAGTTGTAGGCAAAGTTTGAACTTGGAGTTTGAATTCATACTGCTACATTATTACATTTAAACTGTTTATACTTTGTATGTATCACGTTAGTATTTTGAATAAAAAAAATTAGAAAAGTCACGTTGTTTTTTTCATTTTACAAAAGTAGAGCAAAGTATTCCAGAAATGTTTATGCACTATTCTTAATAAACATCTTGATATAAAAAAAAAAAAATTTGTGTAGCAGGGTACTAGTTGATTTATTTGTGTAGCAGGGTACTAATTGATTTATTTGAAAGTATTTTATTGATCTAGAGTAAAAAATTATTATTATTTTACTTTAGGAGCTTGATAGAGTCATGGATTTGGAAGCTAATTTAAAGAGAGCTACTGTTATAAGTACTAAAGGAAGAGTGTATGGATTTTATTGAAATATTAATTTAATAACTCAATGATGAACTCAATTTTTTATTGGCTGATTCAACACTAGTTTGTTTTATATAATGAAGCACTATAGTTTTTATATTAGTTTATATGGAGTATTAACTAAAATTTTTTGTACACTTTTTACAGACATATTACTGAAATAAAAGGCTTAAAGTTTATAGGTGTCTTGAACAAAGTTTTAAGATATTATATAAAATTTGTAAAATTTACAGGCGTCTTGAACAAGCAAAACAAGAAATTGTAGTTGGTAGCTTAGGAATTCTTGCAAAAAACCGCAAAAAATTATATCTTGAAAAAGTTCTTGAATCGCTCAGGTTTATAAAAACATTGCAGCAGACAGATATGCGTCTAAAGGAACTCTTGCAGGTATTTAGTGTAACTTATTTTAATAGAAGTATGCTATGTAAATATTATAACACAATTATGTTACGTATTGTTTAAATTTTTTTTCTTTATGTGTCAAGATATAAAAAAAACAGCAAAAATGCATCAATAAATTATTTTCTTCATAGTACAAAGCTAGCTTTCTTACAGTTTTAGATAAAATACCTTTTTTATAGTGATCAATTAGTCACTTAAATCATATTTTTTTATACCTAGTTTATATCTTTTTAAATCTTTTAGATTTTATATCAACCAAATGTCTGTTGTAAACATCATCTATTAATTAACTTGTTATCTTTATGAAATAACCAGGGATTGATATATAATTATTGAATTTAATTCATTAGTTTAAACTTCTTTATAATCAGACTTTTATCTATCTAAACTTTTAAAACTGATTTTTTTTTTTTTTTTTTTTTTTCATTCAGGAAAACAACTATGCTAGTGCTATTCAACTCTGCTTGGAATGCCAGCATGCTGCAGTTACATTTCATCAATATAAATGTATTAAGTATGTGTTGTTTGTATATTATTTTTAAACAATAAAAACATTTTATATAAACTTTCATTTTTAAATAATTTAAAGTAAATGAAAAAAAATATTTTTAGAATGATGTTTAAGAATTAAAAATAAAAAAATGGCAATAAAAAAACCTTTAATTAATGCATATACATCTATATCTAAAATAAATTAATCTATGTACTCAGTCTTGCATCTATCTCCAAAATAAATTAGTTTATGTATTCAATATTGCATCTATCCCAACAATAATTTATTTTATAAATTCATATGTAGAGATAGATATGTTGCATATCTATCTCTACAATAAATTGGTTTATATATTCAATTTTGCATCTATCTATACAATAAATTCATTTTAAAAATTCATCTTTATTTCTATTTAAATTAAAATAAAAACAGGGAAAATAATATTTTGATTAAATTCAAATTAAATTAAAATAAAAACCACAAAAAAATAAAACGTTTTGTATATATCTTAAACAAAATAATAAAAATGAAAACAGAAAGACAAATGTTCTATTTAAATTTTGAAGAAAACAATTAAAATTAAAACATCAAAACAAATATTTTATTTTAACTAAATAATTGAAAAAAAAATTAGAAAAAAAAGACATTTTATTTAAAGTCTAAATAAAATAATTACATTAAAAATAGCAAAATGAATGTTTTATAGATGGGTTCCTTTGTTTACATTCTAAAGGGTGTACACAAAAAACGGCAGGCAAAACATTTAAACTAAAGCAAATAAAAATAAGCATAAGTAATGCTGTGAGTTTTGTACAGGTAAACTATGTGAATGGAAAAAGTCTCGCAGTAAAACTGTTGTTTTTAAAATTGTAAATTTAATATTAATTGGTAAATTGATGAAATAAAAAACTGCAATGAAAAAGACACTGCATATAAAAAGGATTTCAACTTTACCCATGGGTTATTAACGAAAACCAAGATTAAAGAAAATTAAAGAAAAAGTTTCACTCAAATTATTTATGAAATCTTATCAATTAAATAATATAGAAAATTTGACTAAAACTTAATACAAAATGCTGTTGTCATGGGTGTTGTCATGGAATGCGTATTTTTTAAATAAAATTTCCATATAAATATAGAAACAATTTAGAAGTGTAGAAAGAAAACCAAAATTATCCACTTAATAAAGATGATCAAGTGAAAACTAATCACCAGCATTACTATTAAATACAAAACCAAATGATGGTAACAAAAACAAAATTTTAAGTAACCAAAGTATTGTCTTTTGGAATAATGAAAATATGACAAACGATAAACTCTGTATCTGATAAAATTCTGTTATAGGTTTAAAGATGAACTAAAAATAGTTTTTGAAGAAGTTATATTCCCACAATTTGTAAAATTGAATCCAAATTAACTACAGTTATTTTGTGTATGTAAAGGTTCAAAAGTTTTTTCAGTCAAATGATATCATTACAAGTGTGCTAATATTACAATAGCTCCATCTTTAATTAAAAAATGGTATTGCACAACATGCATTTTGCATCATTAAGACAGTATTATGAGCTTTTGTGTAATATTGTTAAATAAAATATATTTTCTTTTTAAATATATTGAAAAAACATAATTTATGATTTGTTGAAAAAACTTTTGTCACAAAACAAATTACAAACATAAATATTTAAATCTTTTAAAATATTGTAGATTATCTTTTCTGATGCATAAAAAAAATAAAATTGAGTTATATTACATTAAAATTATTTTTTAACTTTTAATTGACACAGGCTTCTAAATAGCAAAAAGTTTGATATTATGCGTAGTGTTGGGTTTTTGATTTGGAAACCCGCTACAAGCACGCATGTAATTATATTATTAAAATATATTAATAACTGCATTTTGACCTAAATATTAAGTTGTTTTTTTTTTTTTTTTTTTTTTTTTGTAGTCTAACATCTATGGTTTTATATTTGTGTGCAATTTTTTATCAGGCATGATTTGAAAAGGAAGAAAAAATGTTTTAATATTTATAGAAAACAACTGCACTGTTTTGAAAATAAGCTGGATTTTAAACTAAACTTGAACATGTTTTACATATTGTTTTTTGTGTACGTGCTTTGAAATGTAGAACAACCTTTCTGTTTAAATTCTAAATAAAATAATTCATACATAAAAGTGTTTTAACATTTTTTCTTAAAAGTATTTGATGAACAAAAAATTATCGTTTTTAAAAAGTTGCTTATATTTTTTGGCAATACTTATGTATTGTGTGTGTGTGTGTGTCTGTGTAAAATAATGTTTTTTTGAAATCACTAAAATATTGCAATAGTTTCATAAAAGATACTTTTTAATTTTTGATAATGTTATTAAAGATGTTGTATATTAGAAATTTTTCTATTTAGTGAACTGAGCTCTAATTTGCAAGAGCTGTTAGAACAAATAGAGGTAAATAAATTATTTAGCTAGTTATTAAATTAGTTAATGAGTTATTTGTTTGAAAATTAGTTTAAAACCTGCAGCTTTGTGGTATTATATATATTGTGTGTGTGTGTATATATATATATATATATATATATATATATATATATATATATATATATATATATATATTCTCACATCTAAGGTGGCATTATTCGCTGACGACACTACCATTTACTCTTGTCATGATAAGAAACCTACACTCTCTGATTGCTTGGAGGGGGTATCTGAGCTTGAAAAGGATCTCACTTCTGCTACAGCATGGGGCTCACAGTGGCTGGTGAACTTTAATTCAGATAAAACTCAATTTTATTCGGCCAATCGTTATCGTAATAATTTAGATCTTCCTATATTTATGAATGGTAATGTACTAGATGAGTCATCTACCATTCATCTTCTAGGATTAACTCTTACTTCTGATCTTTCTTTTAAACCGTATATCAAATCCATTGCAAAATTAGCATCTGCTAAGGTTGCATCTCTTTATCGAGCTCGACACTTTCTTACTCCAGATTCTATTCTCTATCTCTATAAATCTCAAATCCGTCCCTGTATGGAATACTGTTGCCACATCTGGGGCGGATCTTCTAATGATGCTCTTTCTCTTTTAGACAAGGTGCAAAAACGAATTGTAAACATAGTTGGACCTGCTCTTGCAGCCAATCTCCAACCTTTGTCACATCGTCGTAATGTTGCTTCTCTTTCTCTTTTCTACAAATACTATAATGGGCACTGCTCTAAAGAGCTAGCGTCCCTTGTGCCATCTACTAAAATTCACTCTCGTGTTACTCGCCATTCAATTAAGTCTCATCCTTTTTCTGTGACTGTTCCTAAGTGCTTCAAAAACTCTTATTCTTCTAGTTTTTTTCCTCGAACATCAGTTCTTTGGAATTCGCTTCCTTCAGTTTGCTTTCCTGATTCATATAATTTGCAATCTTTTAAGTCATCAGTCAATCGTTATCTTGCTCTACAGATTTAGTCTTTTCTCTTCCAGTAACTTCCAACTCTTATAGTGGTTGCTTGCAGCCTTGTTGGAAGTGAAGATGTTAAAAAAAAAAAAAAAAAAAAAAAAAAATATATATATATATATATATATATATATATATATATGTATAGCCATTGATTTTTTGACTTTTTCTATTATTTGGCAGTGTCCAAAGGACATTGAACATTAGGTCCAAAGCAACTTGAACAGTCTCTAAGGGTGACCAAAAATATGAAAAAGCAGCAATTAATTGCTTGGCAAGGCCTGTATTAGACAATTATTAGCAACATGAGAGTATTTGTTAAAAAAAGCTATTTTTATATCATTTTGTATTTTGTATTCTATTATATAGTATATCTATTATAGTATGATTCATAAGAATTATCTTTTAAATTTTTTTATAAGATATATGTAAAAAAATTTTTAAGCAAAAATCAAAATGTTTTTTCATTATTCTTCTTTTTTTCTTCTTTTTCTGAAATAAATTGTCTTGTTCAATGTCAGCATTTATATATTAAATGTGTGAAATCTATATTAAAATTCTGTATATGTGCGAAGTGATAAGAATGATAATTGTGAAACAACCAAATATCTGGTTTAAAATAACAGCGTAAGCTGTTTAATGTTATAAATAATTAATAAGTAAAATTAATAATTATCTAAATGGCTAATTGTTGTATCAAACTAATTTTTTATAAATTAAATCTAAAATCTAAAAGTCAACTAAATTAAAATCAAAAAATTTCAATAAAACGTCAATAAAACATACATTTTCTTGATAACTCTGATTTTGTTCAAGATACTCAGTTATGTTATTACAAACGATCTAAAAATAACAAACAAATACCAAAAATAGTATAAAATAGTTGTTTAAAGTAAATTTAATAGTGGGTTTATTAAATATTAAGTATACCCATGGAAATTAAAAACAAAAACTAACAATAAGTTGTTTACAAGTTAAAATATACAAGTTTGACAAGGAAGGCGCATTTATAACCTTGGTTTAAAGTTATCATGAAAAATAATATATATGGAAAAAAGAAAAACAAAATATTTAAATTTGGTGATTCTGAATCTCATCTAAGAACTCACATTTTGACTAATTTTTAATTTTTTTTTTCTAATAAAAAAAAAATATTAGTGAAAAAAAAAATTCATGTATATTAATCTAAATATCGAAGTATAAAAAAAAAAAAAAAATTAAGAAAATTAAGAAAAAAGCATTAAAACTTTTAACTTTTAGTCGAAGTTTAAGAAATTTTTTTTTTTAGCAAAAATTATTTTGGTGCTAAAATTATGATTTTAATTGCAAATAATATTTTTACTAAGTTTATTCCAAGACTTCTGCTAAAACATTAAAAAAAAAAAAAATTGTTTCAATAAAAATCTGCTTGATATACTTTTGAAAAACAAAAAAAACACATCAAATATAAAAATGGAAACAAAAACCAAAAACTCAAAAGATTATTATTGATTGTCACAAAGGTAATTATTTACCTTGCAACATTAAAAAGCAAAGGTTTATACAACATAAAAAATGCTTTTGAATATTTAGAGTACTATAGTTGAAACTTAAAAAAAAGTTCTATACATTTTCTATATATTAATAATATTTTTGTTGGTTTAGATTCAGCTTGATGTCGCACTGTCAAGGATCTGTTTGAAATACATTGAAGCTGATTATACCAAAATACAAGAAGCATACAAACTTTTAGGAAAAACACAGGTTTAAATATAGTATATATAATTTATATATATATATATATATATATATATATATATATATATATATATATATATATATATATATATATATATATATATATATATATATATATATATTTATATATATATATATATATATATATATATATATATATATATATATATATATACTTAAACTTATAATATGTTTATCAATCTTTTTCCTCAATGCAGGAGTCTTAGTAGTCTAGGGTTAGTAGGGTTGAGAGAAAGGTTGGGTTAGGGTTGAGAGAGTATCAACAATTTAATAAAAAATTAGTAGCCTCTTTGCTCTTTGGAAAGTGAATACAGTTTAAAAAAAAAATAAAGTTAAAATGTTCATCATGACCAGTTAAAAGTATTCATCGAAATTCTTTTAATTTAGTTTTATATTTTTGTTGGGTATATCCTTATTGATTCAATTTTAATTGCTTTTTGCATGTTCTTTATAACACAATAAAACTCAAAAGTAGAAAATGAAATTTATACCTTAAAATTTTTTATGACTTTGAAATTTTATTATGATATATAATTTACCATGTTATAAATTACTAATAAAATCTTTTTCATAATTTATTTGATATTTTATAGCAATAATATAATTTTGACAAAATATTTTGGCAGATTTCAATGGATCAGCTTCAAATGCATTTTGTAAGCTCTATAAATGTTTCAGCAGTAAGAACACTTATTGATATTTTTACTGAAGCTCAAGATTTACCTGAAGATATTTCATATGTGTCTTTGTGTAAGGTATTTTATTTAACAACTAGTTTTAATGTTTTTTTCATGCTTTCATTATAAAAACATTTCATTATTATAACATTAATGAATATTTTTCTTTAGAACATTCCATTGGAACGTTTCATTGTTTGTTTGACAAATTTGTGTAAGGTGTGGTTATTTATTTGTGTAAGGTGTGGTTATTTATTAATAATGTATTGCAAAATAATAATCTTTTGAAACATATTACATATTATAAAACATAATTATGTTTTATATCTTAAAAAAAAATGTATTGAAACTATATTTCAAATATTTAAAAAGAATACATTTATGTATAAAGAATACATTTATGTATAAAGAATACATTTATGTATAATCAAAGTTTAATTGCTTAAAATTATAAGTTCAATAAGCCAAATTAAAAAGCAAGTTCACTTTTTTTACTTTTATTTACTTTTATTTAAATTTTTTTTTTAATTAATTTATCTAAATTGTATTGAAGGATTTAATAGGATAATTATACTTATATAAAATAAGAACTACTTTATTATTTTTAATTAATTAAAAAATAGTAGCTATTCATTTATTAAGATTCTTTTATTTACCTTAGGTATTTTGGGATATAATGTACAGCTATAGTCAAACTGCAAAGTGGCACCAAAACCAACCTGAACTTGAGAAAGACATAAGTTCCCAGTATGATAAAGAGTATATATGTAAAAAGTTAGAACAAGGCAAAGTTAGGATTTGGCAGGTTGGTTTTAAACATATTTAACATAAATTTAAATTTAGTGATTAAATTGCAAGAATTAAAATTGGATTTTTGATTTCACTTATTTAAAAAATTTTATTTTTAGGATATACAAAGTAAAATAAAAGTTTACGTTTCATCAACAGATTTTTCATATTTCAAATATGATGATTTTATACATATTTTGGATTTAATAAACAGGTAGTTTGTAGATTTTATTTTTATAAAAGTTTATGGTATTATAACTAACATTTCCATTATTCCATTATTAAGGATATTGTAAATTATTCCATTATTAAGGATATTGTAATACCATTATTAAGGATATTGTAAATTATTCCATTATTAAGGATATTGCAATACCATTATTAAGGATATTGTAAATAATAGCACACTATTGCTCAATGAAATTTTAACAACATTGTTAATCAAAAAATATCTTTATCTTAAATAAGATAAAGCAGGAAGTTATTTGCGTTGTTTCAGTACAAAATACTATAGCTGCCTAAACAAATACAGTTTTTTTATTAATTTCATATGGTGTTACTGTTTCACGCATGTTTAAAGATTTTATTTTTAATACCAAAATTTTAGTTTATTGACATTTTGTTGGTTGCAAAACGCAAAAAAGTTTGAGAAACTTTTACTTTGTTGGTTTACTTTTTTCACTTTATTAAAGTTTGAAAAATTTGTTTTGCTGATTTTTTACTTTTTTCACTTTTCTTTTTTTAAAATATTTAGAACCTAATTTAGATTAATCACCATTGGAGAAAATTTTAGTATGAATAGTACATCGTCACAAATGCTACAGGATTGTCTTCGAGTTCAAACTGAAAACTACTTTAAAGCTTATCACAGGTAAATATTGAAATTCTTAATTTTTTAAAATTTAAGTACATTTATCACATAAATGTATAATGAGTAAGATTTAGGGTGCACCAAACACTTCCCGTATAATATATTTCATTAGTTCTCACAAGTAACTCTGTTTAGTTTTTCTAGAATAAACTTAAAACTTTTAATATTGAAGTAGACAGAAATTTTTTTTTTCTAAAAGATTATAAGTTATTTAAAAACTCATTTTTTAACAAGAAATAAAAAATTTCTTTTTTTTAAAATGGTTTTTGTGCAAATAATTTTTTATCAAATTGTTTAAAATAAAAATGATAATTATTTTTGAAATTTTTGTATAGTTTTGGTTTCTTTTAACTTTTTACCTTTGTAAAACTCAGATTTTGGTGAACGTTTTTACATTTGTTTAAACTTTAGAAAAGTTTAACAGTTGCTAGTGAAAACTAATTGTTAACAGAATTTTTTGTGAGGAGAATCTTGCTATAATGTTTACACACTTTTTTGGGTAGAAGAGTAAATAGAAAAATAAATTTTTATATTTAACATTTTTTATAGAAAGACAATAGAAGAGTTACATATGTTTTTGGAAAATGAAGCATGGGAGTTGTGTCCTGTAAAAAGTAATTTCACCATATTAGACATGCAGGTTATGAACCACAGTTTTTAAATAATTATTTAGCGAGCATTAGTTTATAATCAGAATTTAAACTTTATATTTTTATTAATTAATGTAAGTAATAAACTAATATTTAATCTAATATTAATATAATAATAATTCAATATTTCAAATAAGAAAATAAGAAATTAAATTATCATTCTAAAAGCAATAAACAAGTGGGACTAGTTTTTCAAATAATAGTTATGGTGAATCTTTAAATAAGTATTTTAGACTTATTTAAATTATTTTATGCTATGACAACATGACATGACATTTTTTTAAATTAAAAATAATGCCAGAAGAAAAAAAAGAGTCGATTTAAAATATTATAATCTGTTTAAAAATTGACTTGTACACTTGAAAAATGGAGACCCTTGAATTTCTCAGTACAAAATCACTGGAAAGTGGGATAACCAATAGAAAAAAATTAATAAATGGCGAAAAAGTTTCATGGCTAAAGACATGCTGGATAAAAATGAAAAAAGGATTACCACGCTTATTTCAAATGAAGCAAACGCATTTAGAAAGTGACAGATTCATGTTGCTGGGTGTAACAATATGAAATTGTGGATGGCCATCTGGCACTATCAATGTTGAACTCGAGCCCTTGTACCCTAATGGTAGAAAACTCACAAAAGAAAAGCTAAGTGATCTTTTTGAACTAATACAATTTATACCGCCTGTCCATCATCCTAATTATTTTGCTCTTAAAGGTGATGAGGAGGCAACTGATTTGGGTCTAATGGATAATTCTGGTGACAAAGACATAAATTAGTGCATGCTACATATATAAAAGAATCATTAACAAGTCATAGACAAAACATCTTTTGAGCCTAACCAACTCTATTAACAATATTTAGAAAAGTTGGAGGAGGCAAAGTTGCCTAACCTTTTTTTATTGTAGAACACAGTAATATAGTGTCCTAATTTTTTAGTAGATATACTAGTGTATTTTTTTACCTGTCTTTATAATAAATACTATCCTTCTGATTAAAGTTTTAGAAACTTTAATTGAAAATTTTTTCTTAATTTAAATTTTCACTTTAAATGCTTTAAAATTTGATGTTTTTTTTTAAAAAAAGATCAATTGTTACACTGTGACAGCATAGAATGGCTAATGAATAGAGTCAAAAAAATCCAGCATTATTATCCTAGACAGGAAACATTGTAACACAGGATTACATATATGCCAGCCTATTAGATAAAGATGGAGTAAAATTTTATATTTCAGGAATAATTAACTTACCTATATAACTAAGCTACTAACTTAAAGATTTTACCATAAAACATAAAAATGAGGTTGGCATTTATTCAAACACTTTAAGGTAGGCAGTTAGGTCAGCATTGCCGAATGCTGGCCCTAATTCCAAGGCTGATGTATGTATGTATATATGTATGTATGTGTTTATATATGTATGTATGTATGTATGTATGTATGTATGTATGTATACATATATATATATATATATATATATATGTATATATATATATATATATATATATATATATATATATATATACGCAAAAGAATATGGGGGATAAAATAGGTTTATTGATTTTTAGTAATTTTTTGGCAGATTGAGACCAAACATTGTGATGCAGATTTAGGTCTCTTTTTTTTTCCTTATTTAAATTTATATCTTTTATTCTTTATTCTTCTGTTATTTTTAATAAAAATTTTAAAACTCTTAATTTTTTTAATTCTTTTGACTCCAAAATCCATGAACTTTGTTAAACGAGCTCTCTATGCAGATAAACAGAGCGCAGTAATTTTTTGCTCTAATTGTAATTAATCTAAATCATTTGTAAATTTAAGTTAAAAATAAAAACCAACAAAGAAAATTTAAAAAATTTTTAAGAACACTTTGCATTTGATAATTTTTGTTGTTACGAATAAATTCTTTAAACATATGTGAAACAGTATGAAGTTACTAACATTTTGTACTGATACAATCCAAATAACCTACCTACAATTTGAGTTCTTTCATAAAGTTTAAATATTCTTGTTTGAGGGTTCAACTTGACAAGAGTTTTCAGGACCTTTTTTGTATTGGTAATATTTAAAATATTATTAGACAGGCAACCATAAATCTCTATTTCAGTAAGGTTAAAATTTCTGGAACCAAATAGGTTGAGCCTTGAGCTATGATAAATTAGTGTTTTGATCAAAGTAAGTGTTGAATATGAATGTTGTTTATAAAGAAAATTACAAATATTTTAAATATTAACAATACAAAAAATCTGATTTCTACAATGGTAAAACAAAGCATTGGTTTTCTTTCAAATTATAAAAGAAAAAGGTTAGAAATAAGTTTGGCTACTACAAGGACTCAACCAATCAATCCAAAGTATCAAAAATAAGAGGTATAACATAACAAATAACAAATCTTTAACATAATATTGAGATAAAAAATAAATCTGAACAAAACACAACTTTGGACAGCTTGATGACTAAGAGTTGAACTTATGATGTAAAAAGTAATAATTTTATGATTTTCTAAATAAAAAAATCTGAAATAAACCTTTTTATGTGTATCAGTAAATTAGAAACACACTAATGACATCCTAATAAAATAGCCATTTGTGAAGGGTTTAGTACACAAATTGATTGAGGGTTTAGCATTGGGCAGGTATTATCTTTTTTTTTAATAAATTCACTCCCAACAAAGTTTGGTGCAAGTAACTACTAATAAGTTTTGGTGTTTATAGAAAACGAGAAGAGATAAAAAGCATGAAAGCAGTTGACAGAACAAAACCTCAAAAAACTGTTAACTATCATGAAGATAAAATTGAGTTTTAAAGCAACAAAGTTCAAGGAAAAATATAAAAATTTTTTGAGTATGAATCATAGTTACAGTTAAAAAAAACCCAACTTAGCTGCATGATGTTATGATGGCTGAGTTTTGATTAGAACAAGTATTGATAGCTGGGTTAAGTAGCGACCAAGTTAGTATTTTTTAAAAGAAATAAGGATGAATAAAAGATTTGTATAGGTAGAGAATGTAATCCAATGTTGGAAAATGGTAGGTACAATAAAGAGATGATACCTTATCAAATGCTAATTTTGCAATGGATTAAATATATGGTTTCCATTATAGGTCAGTAGTGAAATCGGGTCTGAGAAGACATTAAGTAGAATACTCAGTAAGAGTGTTGGATTCATTAAGAGATCAATATATCAACAATTTGGAAAAACTTTTTAGCAGTAAATAACAAACAAGCTAAATAATAACAATAAAAATAATAACAGCAAATAAACTAAAATATTTTATTAAACTAAATAACAGCAACTGAGTTTTGTTTTGGAAAAAAATTTACCAGACACTGCAAGCCTCAAACTAGAGGAGAACTACAAAATCAGTTTCTTGTTATAAGGAATTAACTAGTTATGACTTATTGCCAATACTGGAGAATTGTGTCCTGAGCAAAAAAAAACTACATAAGAGGTAAGAATATCAGGATGAATAACAGATGGAATATTGCGTTACCCCAGAAGTTATTGGAAATCATAGAGAATGTTGATCATCAAAACAAATTTTAAGGTTAGAATGAAACAATTCAATAATTTAAAAAACTTTTCTTATCAGAATAAATCAGATTCAAACACGTGGACGCAAATTTACTTGGTGCCTCTAGAAAAAAATTATCTCCAAAATTATCTATCAAACCACAGATACATTGAATGAATTACCGGATTAGTCAGTGAATTCTTAATTCTGCTTAAACTAGTTCAAAATAAATCTTAATAGTTTTATCAACAAAAGAATGATAAATAGAACAACTTATTTAGCTGTTTAGGTGTGTTAATTGTGCTTTTTTTTTATTTTTTTTATTTTTATTTGCATTCACTCCCAACAAGGCTGCAAGCAACCACTATTAAGTTGGGAGTTACTAGGAAAAAAAAAGAACAGAGTTATAGAGCATGGAAACGGTTGACAGAAGACTTAAAAAGTTGAAGGTTGTATGAGTCAGGAAAACATGAAGATGGGAGAGAGTTCCAAAGGATTGAAGTGCGGGGAAAAAAACTAGATGAATAAAAGTTTTTAGAGCATGCAGGGACAGATACAGTAAACGAATGAGACTTAGCTGAATGACGAGTAAAACGAGAATGAATTTTAGTTGATTGAACTAGAGATGATAACTCCTTTGAGCAGTGACCATGATAGTATTTGTAGAAAAGAGAAAGAGATGCAACTTAACGACGATGGGAAAGAGGTTCAAGCTTAGCAGATAGTCCAGGTCCAACAACATTTACAATGCTTGCTTTTTTTATGCAGTCATAGCTTTATTACTAAACTTAACTAATAATAGTAAAAAAAACTGATTGGGTAAAATTAATGATGTCAGAGTGGTCTCTAGATTTTTTTCAAAAACTGTAGCAAAGGCGGCAGAGATATAAATTATTTATTATTGCAGAAATAGATTATTATTGCATTTATTAATGTTTTTTTATTTTTTTCTGAAAAATGAAAGTGTGAGTTCAAGTTTTATGAGTTCAATTGCTTGCTACTCTAAGTTCGGAGTTGGGTGAGGTTCATATCCTAACAACAGACAATTTTTTTTTAATGTTGTATTAGACATTAGTAAGTTATCAAAGTTTCAAATTTTTAAATAATTAAGTTTTAAACTAATGAAGCTTGGGTTGAATAAGTAAGTTCTATGAAGTAAAACACTTTTAAATTAAAATAAATAATTTTTGCTTTTATTTTTTCTGGTTTTTTATTTAATTTATCATTTGTTAAGATTTTAATTTTTTTTAGTTAAGTTTTGTATTTTTTATTTTACTTTTTATTTCTCTTTTTAGTTTATGATTTGTTTATTTTAGTTTTAGTTTAAGTTTACATTTTTTTATTCAGGTATTTATTTATTTACATTTAATTCATTATTCATTATTCATAGTTCAGTGCATTTTTTAAACATTCTAATTCATATTATTCACTTATTTTCACTTGTTTGTTCACTTGTTTTCACTTGTTGTTTGTTCACTTGTTTTCACTTGTTGTTTGTTCACTTGTTTTCACTTGTTTTGACAGGCTATGTATAATACTCTCCAATTAATTTATCCAGCAAGGTACAAGCACCTGAATAATATTCCTGTGTTGCTTGAAGTAGTATTAAAACAGAGTGCCACAATTTTGTTCACCAGTGCCTTGATCCAGTTTTGTGACCGACAACAGTTGTTTGACATAAAATGCCTATCACTAAAATGTCAATTCCACTTTATTTCTGCTGTTTAAATCAGGCAACAGTTTTATATCCTAATGTACAGTTAATAGAACCTGTGGTTTGAATTTTGAAATAATTATTTTTGCAATTTTTTTGAGGATTTTCAATATGTGCACATAAAAGTAATTCATATGATGTAGAGAATTATTTAATTATTACTGGCTCCTAACTCTTAACAAATTGTAGACAAAACCAAGGAACCAGAAAGATTAGGATTTTTTAAACGATCAAGAGCTGGAAAAAATGCTGGAATCACTTAGTTTTTTTCTGTTTCTTCACTCTCTTTCAGTTTTATTTTCTTTGTTGATGATTGAATAAAGTCATCTACTTTATTATCAGTACCCTGAGAGAAGTCTGATTCTATCAAAACTAGAAAAATACATTGTTCTTATTCGTATAATTCACAATCAATTGAATTCATTTTGCTTTTCTTCCTTCTCTTTGTAGTATAAGAAAGTCTAGTCTTCTTTTATTGTGATTAATTTTAAAGCATCTTCATGAGTATTATCAGATATTTCTTCGATTTCTTTAGAAAAAAATTCTTCATTTCTTTGCTGAGTTTCTGTTTTGAAACCATAATTATTTTTCAGTTTTCCATACTTCAGGTTTTTCAACATATGTTAAAAAATAATAACATTGCTTTGTTGAAATTCTAGCTCTTTGCTAAAAATCTAGAACCTAATCTATGATAATGCCTGCACTTTCTCTTACATTGTTGTTATTTAAAAAAAAAAATTCTTAAGACCTTTTTTGTGATGGCAACAAGTACCATGTGATCACAGCTGTAGCTTGACCAATACAGCTAGGCCAATATATACTTTTTTTGGAGTGTTAGGGGGGGGGGGGATACTATAGGGCAATTTTATTTATTTGTGCAATTGCAGGGTGGGTATTCTTTTGGTCTTTCTGAAATGATTTTCTTGTTGAGGCTTTTTATTATTCTTCCAATATTTTTGGTACAGCTGTAACTCACTTTGATGGTGTTTTGATTAAATAGTTTACTTAGAGTGGGATGTTGGAAAATTTTTGTCGATTAAGTTTAGTAAGATATGTCCCACATTGGTAGAAACGCTTTTACTATAGGGGGGGGTTGAACCATATTACATTTCTTTTTCTTTTCTTTTTTTCACTTTTTTGGGGTTTATATTTTAAATTAAAATCAGCGGAGGATGGTTGAAATCAGTGTGAATGTAACGTAGATTTTCATTTGGTTTTTTGAAATTTTGGTAGGAGTTTTTTTTGAAATTTTAGTAGGAGTTAAAGGATGCATCTGAGAAGTTGACTGTGGGTAGGTTTGTTTAGATTTCTATTTTAAAACGGATCATTTTTATAACTCTAGTTATGTTTTTTCATATGCTATCAATTTGTGATTGTGTTTATTTAAAAAACTAGATCACAAATTGATAGCATATGATATTTTTTAACAAAAAAATCAATGTATTTTTTACCTGATGATTGCTAAATGCATAAAACTTTTAGTATTAAAAATTATGTAATTATGTATACACACACACATACACACACACGCACTTACGTCAGAATTGTATACACTAAGTTAATAAGTTTAATATGGACATGTTAAGAGTTGCTTTTTTTTAATTAGAAGAGTTTTATTGTTCAGGAGTTGCACTTTATCAAAACAAGGTTATTACCAAAGTCACCTAGCAATTCAGATATCTCTTCTGGAAAAAGTAATTTTCTTTTTTCCAGAAACTTTCTATTGTTTTTTTATACTGTTTTATACTACATTTATAATTTTATTTTACTAATTTACAAAATGTTTTAGCTACATTGGATACCAGTATGTTTAATTATGAGAAAACTCCTTTTGACTGTTTTGCTGTGGAAGACACACTCTATCAAGAAAATGTTTATGGATACGAAGATGATGATGATGATGAAGTAGATGTGCTTGGTACTTATTTAATTAATAAAGTTTATATTAATTACTTAACATAATTTACAACTTTGGAAAAAAGGTTATTACTCTAATTAATCATATTGGTAATTATATTATCCATTAGCTAGTGATTTTCTGATTGCTTTACACCTAAAATAAAATAATAATTGCAATAAAAAAATATAATAAGTATAAAACCAAAATCGTTATTAATTATTAAAAACCAAAAAAGTTATTTGTTAGTGACTTGGGATGCTGATGTTTTCGTTGTTATTGTTTATTATTTAAGTTTAGTTTAATTTATTTTAAGGTTATTTAAGGTTAATTATAGTTGTTGAATTAACATGTGGTTAGGTTGCAGTTATAATATTTGTGTATTTTGTTTTTATGTTGTAGTTTCTTGCAGAAGCCGTTGTACTTAGGGCTCTCTTAATTGATTTGCAGTGTAAGTTGATTTTTGCAGCCAACTTTATGTATTCATCAGTAATAAGTTACAATGACTAAAGCACCATAAAAAAAAAGATTTTTTTAGACAATGTTGTGTAACTTGTAAAATAATGATACTTCATTTTTTAAATACCATAATGAGTTATGTGTTACTTAAGGCTTTGTGCTTTGATAGATAATTTTCAAATAATTTTTATGTAGACTGTATAGAATCTACCACTTACTAAGCTTGTATTATTTGTAAAATATGTTATTACTAATTGATTTTATTGAAAATTAAAATTTTAATTTGCAAATTTACTGTATTATTTACTATATTATTTTTTTAAAAGGAAAACAGGTTTATCTACTAATCATGTTTGTAATTGCACTAACCAATCACATTAAAACCTTAATAACCAAAAAAAAAAAAAAAATGCAAATCGTTTTTTCCAGTTAAACTCATCTCTGGCCCATTGCTAGAGCAAATGCTAGTCTCATCTACTTTAGGTATATTAAGTATATCAGCATATGCCATATTTTTTGCAAAAAGTGGTTGTATTGTTGTTAAGCTTTTTAAGCTTAAAAGAGATTTTTCTTATTTGGTTTTGTGTTGTTGTTGTTGTTTTTTTGTATTAACTTGGACATTTTCTTTAAGTGTTTAAAGAAAATGTCCAAGTTAATACAAAAGATTTTTTTCTATACATCTTTTTCAATTACATGTAAAACTATAACAAATTCAAAGTTACTTTTAATAAAGTAATAATAACTGTTAAACTATACTTTAAGTACACAATTTTTATTGTGAAATAACGAAATAAAAACAAGTTAGCTTTAGTTATGTAGTCATTGAGAACTCGCAGAAAATTGTGTAAAGACTTGTCATCAAGAAACTTTTATATTAATTTCACAAAAATTTTGATTCATAACTTATTATAATTTTTAATATAGTTAGTCATATTTTTTAGAATTTGTTATACAGGTCAAATTTTTGTTATAAGTGCCACTATAAGCTATAGAGAATTTGGATAGTTTTTTTTTATAAATAGTTTTTTTTTATAAAAATATTTTTAAATTAAATTATTTATCTTAATTTCTTTTTATTTTTGTTGCAGATGAATTAAAACGAGACTTTGTTGATGAAAAGACTGGTGAAGAAAATCAGTCAAGGTTTGCACAGTTAAATATTTTCTTAAATATTTTGGCGTACAGTTTTCGGTTAATAACATGTTGCAACTAAAAATCTGGACAAACTTTGAATATCTCTTGAACCGAGTTATTCATTTTTTAAATTAAAAAAGCAAATTAACAAAAAATTTGTATTTTACAAAATAAAAATTATTTGTTTTAACCTGATCTAGCGGATGCTAGATCAGGTCAGAACACAATTTTGTCGTTTTTATGAGCTTTGTTGATGAACTTCTTTAATTTAACCAGGCACATCTTTTTTGACTGCTTGACCTGAAGTAGCTATGTAATGCTTTGAGACCCCTTTCTCTGAAAAGGCTATCCAAACTAATATTTTTGCCTCATATTTGCTTTTTCTTTTGAGCTTAACCTCATTAGGAGTCGGGATCAGAAGTATAATATCCTGTGTTGCCAGAAAGCTGCGTGTTGCGCATAGGAAAATAAGATTCGTCGTCAATTATCACAAATTTTTTTTGGAAAAGTGCAACTAATTTTAGGTGCTTAGGATGCATAGCAGCATTCTGAGCCCATGTTCTTTTTGGCACTTTAGTTTTTTTACGATATCCAATGCTCGTCTTTTTGTTGATAATTTTGGATATATATTGCTGGGAAACATTGAATCTTTTGGCAGTTGCGTTGTTAAACACTGTCCTTTTTACCAATAATCTTTTTTAAGTGTTTAATCTGTTTCTGAGGCAGTCTGACCACTTCCAACTTTTCTTTCTGAGGCAGTCTGACCACTTCCAACTTTTCTTTCTGAGGCAGTCTGACCACTTCCAACTTTTCTTTCTGAGGCAGTCTGACCACTTCCAACTTTTCTTTCTGGTCCTAAATTGATTTCCTTTTGTTGCAGTACATGGTTGATTTTGGGACATTTTCTATTTGAAAATAATTAACAACAAAACTTTTGTTCTATTCTAATGCAAATCAAGAAAATTGTACACTCATTTATGGAGTGCCTCTTGATTTTTCAATCTTTTAGACATGTTTAATGAGGTTTTGAAAAAAAGAACTATAGCTGATGATATATTGTAGAGGAATAAAATTGCAACAAAACAGGTAGAATTATAAAATTATAAAACATTGTTAGACAATTCAAACTATAAAGTTTGTCCAGATTTTTAGTTGTTGCATGTTATCAATAGTTTCTAACTTTTTCAGCAAAATATTTGAGACACTTTTTTTCTTCAAAATTTGTTACCCATTGTCTTTTCAAAAACTGTTCACATTCTGTTTAAACAAATTATTATTTTTTAAATTTTTCTGCTGCTTTTTTTTAAGGCCATCTGTGAAAATTAGTAAAAAGATTGATGTTCATGAGAAATCACCAATTGTAACCAACACTACTATAAATGTTTTAAGATCATTTGGTGAGTTTTTGCATGGTTTCGAGAATTTAAGTAGGACTTTCAAAATAAATAAACAGACTTTAAATTTGTTAATCAGTTTATTAGTTTGCAGTTTTTATTTTTTCTCTTCTTTTTTTTTAATGTAATTTTCTTTTTCTCAATTCATTTTTGCTTGTTTTCCTCAGGAAAGTACATGCAAATGATGATTGTGTTGAAGCCAATTGCATTTGAAGTTGTAAATTGTATGTCTCAATTATTCGAGTACTACTTATATTCTGTAAGTTTTAAAGTTTTAATTTGTCTTTTTATTACAATTATTCAAGTATTGCATATATTCTGTAAACTTATGGAGGTGTAATTTGTATTTCTCAATTAATCAAATATTGCTTTTATGCTGTAATTTTTTAAAGTTTTAGTTTGATAGTCTCAGTTATTCAATTGCTACTTTTATTCTGTAAATTTTGTTTGATTATCATTTAAAAAATTTAAAAAAAAAAGTATAAAGATGTTTTTTATAACATATAATATAAATTTTTAGGTTTTTACCTTTTTTGCAACATACTCAGATGGAAATTTTGTAAGTTGTTAAATTTTTTTTTTGAAATTTAAATTTGAAATAAAAAATAATTAAAAATAGAAAAAATGCATGTAATAATTGACACCATATTAAATAGAATTGAACAAAAGTTACGTAAAGATAAATTGAACAAAGTCACAATATGTTGCAGTAACTTAATCTTAACTAGTGATGAAAAATATGGGAAGAAAATTGTCCGAAAATTTCAGAAATTTTTAAACCACCTTATTAATTACAATAAATGTTTAATATTATAATTTTATGATAAATTTATTATTATTATTATTATTATTATTATTATTATTATTACCAGTAATAATAATAATAATAGTTATTATTATTATTATGATTGGTGGTAATAATAATAATAATGGTACCAATGTCGCTTATCAAACCTCAAACCTTTTAGTTGTGAGGTTTGATAAGCAACATTTTAGTGTTTTAACTCTAACCACTGCACCACAACTGCTAAGTTTGATCCAGTTTGAAATATAAAAAAAATTGGGTGTTTTATAACACAATAATTAAAATAATTTTGCATTTAAAAAATTCAGATAAATTTGGCACAAAAGTATGAAAAAAGAAATTTAATGAGATTTCTGTTGTTAGATTTTTTGCAGTTGGTAATCAGTAATAAATCTTAAAAAAATTAGTCTTATAAATGATCAATATATACGTTCTAAAAATTTTTAAAATATGACCATGTTATTTTTCTTTTGCGGTCTTTTATATATATATATATATATATATATATATATATATATATATATATATATATATATATATATATATATATATATATATATATATATATATATGTATATATATATATATATATGTATATATATTTATATATATATATATATACATATATATATATATATATATATACATATATATATATATATACATATATATATATATATATATATATATATATATATATATATATATATATATATATATATATATATATATATATATATATATATATATATATATGTATATATATAGCTTATGGATAAATTAAAATTTGTTAAATTGTAATGTTTATTGTTATTGTTAAATTTACTATGTTCTAATAGATTGTAATGTTTTTTATCATATCATAAATACATCAGAAAAACAATCGTCAACTTTTTTTTGGGTTTTTCTGATATTTATTCAGGCATCATTGTTTTTTCTTAAAAATTTGTTAAAAAGAGCGTTGCATTAGAAAAAGTTTTTAAAACTCTATTTTAATATAAATTTTAATTGCTTTTTTATTAAAAGGATTACTATTTTTGAATATTATTTTATATAGACTATTAATATATTATAAATAGTCTAATTAAGAGGTAAACAGATTCTATCTGTTAACCAATCTCACACCCCTTCATTTATTAGGCTGGCGCAAGTGTATTTGTAATACATTGTTTCCAGTTTAGGATGTTGATTGCTGGATCTTATTGAATCAATACATAAGATTTGTTTGTGTCTCTGTTTTTATGACTAAGCAACTCATTCTATTATCTCCTAATGAGGGTACAGCTCTAAAACTCAGTTTTATGGTTCTGAGGCTGGCTGGTAGTCAGGTTTCCTGAACTCTGTGGTAGCTCTCTGAGAGGCTGATTCCATGAACAGTAAAAAAATATTATAGTACTAACAGTGCCATGTTGCACATGGATGTTGCCCCTGTTCGTACTTTTGGTGTGCATTTTTGAGGCCACATTTGGAGTCCTTTGTTACAGCTTAGGGTTTATTAATAGTAATAAGGCAATTGCTTGGGCTATTAAATAGTGTGCTGAGTACTATCTGTGCTGTAAGTCAAGTTCTTTAACAATTTTAAAAATGACTAAAGTACCAAAAACTGTAAAACACAAAAAACCATTGCCATCACCAAGTTCTCTAAATCTATCATTCGCTAATATTCGTGGTCTTCAAAATAACTTTTCTTCTGTTGAGTCTTATCTCTTGCAAAGTTCACAAGACCTACTTGCTCTTTGTGAGACTAATTTGAATTTGGCTGTCCCATCTTGTGATCTTAGTGTTGATGGTTATTTTCCTTTAATTCGTAAAGACTCCAATAGTCACAAACCACATACTTGGCCAGGGCATTTACATTCGTAAAAATTCACCCATTTGTCAGGAAACTAGGTTTGAATCCACAGACTATCCTTTTATGTGCTTTTGTTTAGCACCACTTCTCTCTATCGCCTTTCTTTTTGTTCTATATTGCTCTCCTTCATCTCAAGACTGCACTCATTTTGATGTTATTTCTGATCAAATTGATCAAGTCGCCTCTCTTTATCCATCAGCCAATATTGTTTTTTTCAGTGACTTTATTGCTCGTCACACTGAATGACTTGGCTCTAGTGTCAGTGACTGAACTGGCATCAAGGCCACAACTTGCCTTTCTCAATCTCTAACTCAAATAGTAAACTTTCCAACTTGCTTTCCGGACAACCCGAATCATTTACCTTCTTTACTCGACCTATGTCTTGTTTCTCATTCTAGTCAGTGCTCAGTTTCTCCATATTCACCCTTAGGTGCTTCTAATCATGGTTTGATCTCTCTAAAACTATTATCTCATTTTTCTTCATCATCAGAATCTCCCTATCATTGTAACTCTTACAACTACCTTGAAGCTGACTGGGGCTCTTTTCATGATTTTCTTTGTGATGGCTCATGGGTAGAAATCTTTTGTCTTCCTACTGACAAATGTGTTTCTTACATAATTTTGTAGATTCAGGCTGTCATGGAATCTTTTATTCCCTCTTGACGATTCCAGGTCAAGCCTCACTTTTCTCATTGGTTTTCCTCATATTGTGCCGCTGTAATTTTCAATCGAAACTGTTACTTCCATATCTATAGAAAACAGACATCTGTTTACAATTGCTAGAAACCATTGTAAAAAGGTTTTGTCTAAGGCCAAAGCTCTCTATTCTCAGGTCATAAAATCTTGTATTTCATCACAAAAATTAGGCTCTCAGGATTTCTGGAGAATCTTTAACAGTAGCAATAATAAGGACAAATCTGTTGTTCTACCTATATGGTTCAGATTTTACACCTCACCTAAGACAAAGCTGAATTATTTGCTAAGAACTTTTCATCAATATCATTTCTCAATTCCACTAGTTTTGTTCTACCTGATATAGCCAACAAACAGGTTGAACACTCCAACTTTTGTATCTAAAGTGATTTCTTACTTGGACTCTTCTACAACTTGTGGTCATGACAACATACCTGTTATAGTCTTGCAGAAATGTTCTCCAGAGCTGTCATCTATACTTTCAAAACTATATAACAAGTGCTTATCAGAGTTTAGTTTTTTGGCATGCTGGAAAGCAGCATCTGTTCTTCCTATTTTTAAAAATTCTGGAGAGCGATCTAACTCATCTAACTACTGTCCAATTAGTCTTTTTCCTATCATAAGCAAGGTTTTTGAATCTTTAATTAACAAACATTTAATCTCTTATCTTGAATTTAATAACTTACTTCCTGATCATCAATTTGGATTTCAATGTTCTTTTTCTACAGCTGATTTGCTAACAGTAATAGCCGATAAGTTTTATCCTGCATTAGACAGAGTTAGAGAGCTTAAGGCTATTGCTCTTGACATTTCTAAAGCTTTTTTTTTTTAAACATTTTCACATCCAACTGGTAAACTTTAATTCAAATAAAACTCAATTTTTTTCAGCCAATCTTTGTCACAATAATTTAGATCTTCCTATATTTATGAACGGTAATGAACTTGATGAGTCATCTACCCTTCATTTTCTAGGATTAACTCTTACTTCCGATCTTTCTTGGAAACCTTATATCTAATCCATTGCAAAATTAGCATCTGCTATAGTTGCATCTTTTTATCGCGCTCCACACTTTCTTACTACAGACTTTATTCTTTGTCTCTATAAATCTTAAATCTGTCCTTGTATGGAATACTGTTGCCATATCTGGGATGAATCTTCTAATGATGCCCTTTCTCTTTTAGACAAGGTACAAAGGGCATTGTAAATATCATTGGACCTGCTCTTGCAGCCAACCTCCACATATTATCACATCATTGTAACATTGCTTCTCTTTCTCTTTTCTACAAATATTATAATGGGCATCGCTCTAAAGATCTAGTGTCTCTTGTGCCACTTACTAAAATTCATTCTCGTATTACTTGTTATTCAATTATGTCTCATCCTTTTTCTGTGACTGTTTCTAAGTGCTCCAAAAACTCTCATTTGTTTAGTTTTTTTCCTTGAAAATTAGTTCTTTGGAATTCGATTCCTTTATCTTGCTTTCCTGATTCATATAATTTGCAATCTTTTAAGTTGTCTGTCAATTGTTATCATGCTCTAGAAACTTCATTTTTTCTCTTCCAGTAACTTCCAAGGTTGCTTGCTGTCTTGTTGAAAGATTGAATTTAAGTTTTAAATAAATAATTCATAATCAAGTCTTCTTTCAATCCTTATGCTTTACAAACTTTTTTTATTTTCACTTTGATTAAGTTGAATTTTAGATACTACGTTTAAAACGCAATTATAGAACCACTGTGTGTTGAAAAGTATATTTTATTTTTAAAAAGTTTTTAGTTAAAAATAGAAAATTTAAATTGGGGGTGTGACACTCCCCCATCAATGATTTATAGTCGGCAAATTTGACCCTTAGTCGGCAAATTTGACTTTTTTTGACTAGTTAGTCAGCAAATGTAGATTCTTTCGATAGGTTAGTCGGTAATTTAGACAGTCAGTCGGTAAATGTCGTTATAGCAGTCAGCAAATTTTCGAAAATGAGGACCTTTTTTTTTTAGTCCCTCTTCCCCACCCTCCCCCCTTCCCCCCGTGACACTTACTCGCGTTGGCCCTATATATATATATATATATATATATATATATATATATATATATATATATATATATATATATATATATATATATATATATATATATATTTAGAAACTATAATTCTAATGATATATAATACTATAATTATATATCATTAGAAAGAGAATTATTACAGTATTTTAAAGTTGAAAAAATTATCAAAATCAAAAAACTGGTTCAAAAGGAATGAAGGTTTAAATACCAATTTTTCTATATATGGGTTTGTTGAAGAAGCTGCGATCAAAATAATGTTTTTCTTCACTTAATTTGTCATAACTTTGTCAATTTTTATCGAAATATCTTGGTGTTAAAAGATAGGTGTAAGAGTGCGCTTTATGTTAAACTCCGGGCGTATCAGATGGACAAAAGGGACACTAAACCGCCACTTTGCCCACATGAAACTGATCACTTTTTTCAAACTGAACAAATTTTTTTTTTAAAGACCTAAGCAATATAATTATACAAAAAAGTTGTTTTAAATTTATACTAAAATGAATAAAATTAGTATACAATATAAAATTATGTTATACAAGATCTTACGTATATAAGTGGTGTTTCTATAACGGCAGGGGCGTATGCCTCTCCCCCTTCCACCAATCTAAAAAAAAGAAAAAAATGCAATTACTGTTTTCAAAATTTGAATAATAAATTAAAAAAAAAATTTCAAGTTGGAAATAATTTAAAAAATGAATTCATACCAGACAACAACCAAATATGGGAGATGAATGTAAAACTCATAGTAGATATGTTGATCATGTTTTATTACTATAATATCAAAAAAAAGTTTTGAACTACTTAGTTACCTCTTTAGTTTATTGTTGTAGTTTTGTATAGTTTTGTTTAAATTTCTTTTACTTCATTTGAACTTATTGAGTTTACTTTCAAATAATTCAGAGTTTACTTAAAAATGTCCAGACATATCAAAAAATCTTTAATTACAAAATTTTTTTACTTTAAGGTCACAAAAGCGTAACAATGACTAAATATTTTTTTTTTTTTTTTTTATTATTGTTCATTTCCGTAATACTTTACATAATTACATAAAACTTAATTAAAGCAGTATTTTATTTTTAATGTGCTGGAAGTTTTTTTCTATTTTTGTTTATGTAAGTAAAATAAAAATCAAACTAAAAAACATTAAATTTTGGTGTTTTTAAAAAAAGTCTGTATTTTTGCCCAAGCTTTATTTTGCTCTTGTAAACTGACTTACATAGGTGTGAAGGCAGTTTTATTAAATATTTGCCTATTTAAACTGTAAATTAAACTTTTAGCTATTTTGTATGAAAGCTGTTAGTCTAAAGAACAAAATAAGCTCAAAAGTTTTGAGTCTAACCAAATGAGGGTGAACTTATTAATGAAAATGCCACTTAACTTACGTTACACAGAAACAAGGTAAAAAAATTGCTTCAACTTTTTGGTCAGATTTCTGCAAATCAGTAAAGCTGTTTGTATTAGAAACTTTTGAGAATTCTATACCAATTTAATAAAATATATAAAAATTTATATATCAAAAAAACAAGTTTATTTTCCTTAGGTGACTAAATGCATTAAGGCTTATAAATCAGGAATAAGTTCTAAAGCAAAACAGATATCTTTGCTAATTAATACACGTGACATTTACTGCAGACTGATGATAAAGACACATCCAATTATTGCCAGTAAAAAAAGACTTTTGCAATGTGGAGCATGCGGAAAATTTGGACATACTACAAGACGGTGTATAGTAGACGTGAACATCGTACTTAGTGAAGAAAAAATGGTAATTCAAGAATTTTTTATGTGACCATAAAAAATCGATAAGACTAATATCTGTGTGTATTTGTGTTTAATATTAAATTATTATGAACTCAAATATATTTTGTTATGAATTGGATATGATATCCTTTTTCAAGCAATCTAGCCAGCTATTAGCTTGCTAATCACGGGGATCAAGGAGCTGTTTATTATATGGGGTGGGGGGTGGACGAAGTCAAATTTTTTCAATAAAATTTATATTTTAATTTATACTTTATAGTTTATTTGAAAATTTTTAAAAAAGTAAGGGCGCCCCTCCCTTCCCCCACCAGTGCCCCATTCTCTGGGTTAGAGTGCACACATGTAAAATTTAGCCTCGGAATCAGATTTGTCAGCCCAAAAAAGTAATATACTAAAATTTTCAAAAAATTTCATTAACAAATAACGGATTTTATGAATTTTTTCCAAAAAACCACATTCTGGGCACACTGTGCACCATGATTTATACAAAATATAAATAATTAACTTCCTACCATGGTTTAGACAAAATATATACAGTTAACTTGCTACCAAGAGTTCTAAAGTGCATTGGCCAAATTTAAACTAATATTATTGTGATATTAAAAATATTACAAAAATACATGTTTTAATTCCATATATATACTTTGAACTTTTTTTAAGTCATTGGTGTAATAAAATAGGTTGTTATTTAAATAACTTGTTTATTTAAACAATAAGTAATGTTGTTTACATAATTTAATTTTAGAAAAAGTTTATGGCGTTTTTGTTGTTGAGAAGTTAAATTCTTGACAATGAAAAAGTTCTGAGTTTTTACTTTTCAATTTGAATTTTATTAATAAAATTTTAAATACAGGAAAATAACGTGTTGAAAGTGGATGAAAAGTTAAGGGCATGCTTAACTAGGATACATAACAGTATTATACTTATGGAGGTAAGTTTTTATTTCATTACACCATTTTTGAACATACAAAGAAAACATTAGATTTAGAATGACTTACAAAGACAACATAAAATTTAATATGATATACAAAAATAAAATTAACCTTTAAAAGAAAAACATTTAAAATGACATACAGAGAAATATTACATTAAAAGCAATGTAAATTTAACCAAAACTTTATGACATCAACATACAATATATTAATAATGGTTATTAAAATCATAAATCAATAAAAAAAATTAAAATAATTTTACAATAGCCTGGGGAAAATTTTTATAGTGTGAAATTTTTTAAATAACAGCAATATTTTTATAAATATTGCTTGTTTTTTTGTTTTTGTTATTATTATTATTTAGGAAAACTCTAACGATGACTATATTTTTTTTTTTTAATTATTATTTAGGAAAGTTCTATTGATGATGCACATAAAGTAAGGTGTTCTTGTGTGTTTTAATTTATTTATCTGTGTTACTTCTGTGTCTTGGTTTATTTATTGTGAGTTACTTTTTATTTTTGTATCGGAATTATTAGTTTTTATTAAAAAATTTTATAAAGTCTTATTTTGTAACTAATGTATCATTGTGTAACTAATGTGTCTTATCTTATGTATTTGTAACTAATGTGTCTTATCTTATGTATTTGTAACTAATGTGTCTTATCTTATGTATTTGTAACAAATGCGTCTTATCTTATTTATTTATAACTAATGTGTCTTATCTTATGTATTTGTGACTAAATAATATATAATAATAATGTCTTATCTTATGTTTGTTCTACTATTATTGGTTTCTTGCATAATGAAGGCTTAAGCTAAAATGTAGTTTATTTTAGCTTTTTATGACTTAAAAAATAGTTTATGATTTTAGATATCTTCACCATTACTTTCTCCTATGATTAATCTAAGGAATCCAAATGATTTGTTTGGATTTGTGCATCGTGTAATCGGAGTAGAATCATTGTATGTTTCTTTTTAAACTGCTATGTTTAGTTAATGTTGAATTTATGTATTTGGATTTAGTTTTTGGGCATTATGAATTCTTATTTCATGTTTTTGGTATTAGATTATTTTTATCCAAACAATTATTAACAGTATATCAAAGCTTAGTTGTTCTTGTTCCACCAAACAAGCAAGCATTCCTAAGACAGTTTTATAGTCAGGTGATTTAAATGAGTTTTTTTTTTCATACTTTTATTTGTTTGCATATTTTAAATCTGAATTTACTTTTACTTATTAAAATATTTCAAATTTTAGTTATTTAAAATATTTCAAAATATTTTCAGACAGTCGATATTGTTATTGAATTGAGAGATCCGATTTTCAAACCTATCGCCGAAAAAGCTATTGATTATAACAAGGTAAAAAAAAAAAAAAAAAAATAATGAAACTATGTGTATGTTAGTATTGAATTATATAAGATTAGTTTATATTGAAGAATATTGAATTTGTATAGAGCATATTTTATGTTTGTTTAGATACTAAGTATGATGGCATCTGTTAAATGGGATCCTAAAGAAATTATGTCTCAACACAACCGATATATTGATATCATAGTAAATGTAAGTTAGAAAATATTTTCTGGCAATGTTGTAATTTAATAATTAAATCAGTTGAATCTTATTAATAAAATTTAAATTTTTTGTTCAATAAACTTTTTTGGTTTATTTATTAAGCAGTTACTTGTTTGTTTAATATGCTTTACTTATTTGTTTAATAAAATTTTACTTATTTGTTCAAGAGACTTGTTCAAGAAACTTTACTTGTTTGTTTAATAAACTTTTAGTTGTTTGTTTAATAAACTTTACTTGTTTGTTTAATAAACTTTTAGTTGTTTGTTTAATAAACGTTAATTTGTTTATTTAATAAACTTATTAACATTTATTAAACAAACGGTATATGCGGTAGTAGTGTAGTGGTAAGAGCGCTTGCTTTGTAAGCGAGAGGTTCGGAGTTCGACTCCCACCAGGTCCCTGGAAGTACTGCGCTCAACTTAATTTCTCCGCGCAGCGGTCTTGCTTGCCAAGGTTTGTGTTTCGGAAAGAAAGAAAAAAATGAGTAGCCTCCTCAACTGTAGTGGCCCCCTCGGGCCTTGGGGAGGTGAATAATTAAAAAAAACAAAAAAACTTTTACTTGCCTATTGGGTACCCAATACGGGTCAAAAAATCAATACCAATATTTTGGTATTATAAAAATATAATACCGATATTAAAACTGGTATGAAAAAATTGAATTTATTTAAAGCAAATAAATAAATATACAAAACTAGAAAAGTTGTTTGTGATTACATTTGACTAGAAAATTTATTGATCTATTCGTTGAAGCTTTTTTCTTTTATTCAATGAAGATAGTCTCTTAAAAAACAAAGAGCATCCAGAGTTTTGTCATCTATTCTGCACTGCAACTTGTTAAATAACACAGGCAGCACAAAATGCTCTTTCGGATTCAACGCCAGTTGACCAAATTGTTAAAAGAAGATCATAAACTTGTTGGAGATATTTTCCTCACACACCTTGATCTTCAAAGAGACTCGTTTCTTTTTTTTAGACAATCAATAATATCACCAGTGCGTTCTAATTGTTTCTCAACAACCTTTTAGTTCATTTTTTTTATTAATGGCTTTGTACATCTCTTTTTTCATTGATTTCGTTGATTTACTCCTTCAATAATAATATTAACTCCTCTAACCTTAAAGTGAAGAATTACCTCAAAAGCAGTGCTTTGAACATAAAGTCCTTTCTGATATACCCAAAAGTGAATTGAGGTTATTCGGTTTAGATGCATGTGAAAAATTAAAACCTTTTAAGTTTGAGTTTCTAATATCATCATCTAGACCTTTATGCAGATAAGAGATTAAATCGGACAACTCCATTCTTCTTGCAATGCTATGTTCTTTTATTCCACTGAGAAATTCTTTTATTCCACTGAGAAATGATGACTTAATTTTACCTGTCAAATATAAATTTCATTGCTGTATCTGCAGAAATTAAGTTACCATTTTTTCCACAAAGTGACTCAACAACATAGCGGCAAAAGTATGAGATAGTAAAAACTGTTTTAAAATTGGTTTCTTTATACTAAGTTGAAAATCTATATCTGATTTTTGAATGCATGATTTTAATTTGTAAAAACGTTCGAGCATTGCTTATAGACTATTCCATCTAATTTTGGAAACTGTGATTAAAAAGTATTCTTTACCAAATTTGAGGTTTACATAATTCTGTATTACCTCAATTTTTTAATGGTGAACATTTAAATATTTAGACAATTTTTCTTAATTATGTACAAGTTTTGTATAACCAATTTGAATATTATGACTTAAAAAAGTAATAGTTTATGATTTTAGATATCTTCACCATTACTTTCTCCTATGATTAATAAGATACAGACAAGATGTTGTCTACATCTCATCCTTTATAATTTGTAATCATCAGATGTATTTTGTAATCCATCATTAATTCTTCTTTGTATGTATTTACAATATTTTCAAAATAGTACCATAGTTTTTTGTGTTCTACGCTATCAGAATATGAATTGATGTCTATTGATTGATTCAAGCAGATGGTTCTTTCTTCAGTTGTTCCTTTTTTTATATAGAACATTGACAACTGCGAGTTGAATTGCATGAGCCAAACACAACTGCTGAATAGCCAGTACTAATTTTCCTTCTTTCTGCATAAATGCTGTACCATTATTTGTTAAATAAATGATATTCTTTTCTAATGAAAAACCATACTGATTCAATTTTCACTTAAAACTGACACATTTCTCTGCAGGTAAACTTCCATTGATTGGAGAAGTCCTAAATTCCAAAACTTTAACTCCAAGGGAAGATTCATGTTTATGTATTGCCAGTTCCTTAAGGAAGTCCACTCATCAAAAGTAATACCTTTTTATAATAAAACCTTTTTTCATTTAATTTATATTCCGATATTTCTTTAATTACTAACTGTGAAATAGTTTCGTTATAATTTATGGCAATTTTTTGGATAGTTGTGGTGAGTTTTAGAACTACGTCACTTAAATTTAATGCTTTAAATGATATTCGAAGATCATCAAAGGTTATGAAAATTCTGAAGCCAATTAAGTGCTGTCTAGATAAGATTGTTGACAGCAAATCTTTTGTATTGTTTTTATAATATTTAGTAATTTTTGGAGAAAGCACAAATTTTTGTAGGAGGCATCAGATTTTGAACTAGATTTACTAAGAAATTTAATAGCATCTCATTTCCGCAATATTAGATCATGCTTAGTTTTTTAATATACAAATGTTTTATAAATTTAGAATACAATTCGCATATGAGTTTTTCAAACGAAATTTACTAATTTTTATGTTTAGTTTAGTATTAGTTTTTATATTTTATTTATTAATCATATAAATGTTATAAAAAGAAAAGCCTGAAAAGCTCTTTCAGTAAAAAAAGTTTCAAATGAATTGAACATTGATTTTCTAGATTCTGAAAAGAATCCAATACATATTGGATTCTTTTTTATAATCTTTTCTTTCACTTAACATGAACTCTGGTATTGTGGTTTTACCTCCTCTGGCTAATTGCCATATAGAGGTCACTTTACCAGAAGGCCGCAAAGACTAGTTGAGCTCCCGAAGGAGCATCATACCCGCTCTACGGACTGAGAATAAGGTGATTTTGGAAAGAATGAAGATATGTTAGAGTGAAAGATAGAAGTAGTCGAGTTAGAAGGATAGCATAGAGTAAGCGGACAGAATTGCACACGATGTTAGAGAGTGCAATACATACTGTTAGTTAGGCTTAGCCTAAGTAAAGTATGCCAACAAAGTAGTGATTGGAGTTCACTTAACATGAACTCTTCCTCAACTTTCTTTGTCGTCCAAGGGAGACATAATAACTAACCTTTTATATAAAAATTTGCCTCAAAATTGCTTGCGGGTTTGTTTAGGATGGTATTATTCACTAATTGACAGATCTTTTCATTTTTAAAATAGGCTTGTATTACTTTTGGGTTTGTAATTTTTTTTTAATATACTTTGTCCTCTTTTAAAAATTATTATTTTTTTTTTTAAATCGGCTAAGATTGCTTGTGGGTTTCTATTTTTTTTAAATCTTTTTTTTAATACTTTTTTTTTTAAACTTTTTTTTTAATAAAATTGAAAAAGTAACTTACAAAGTTATGTTAACTTTGTTTAATATTAATATAAAAATATGCTACATCTGTGGAAGGACGCAGGTTGTGGTGCAAATGAAATATTTGTACTTTATGTTGTTTTACTTTTATATAAAAAAATTTTATCTTTTAAAAGAAAAATATTTTCTCCTTCAATCAGCAAATTTCTTTAGGATAAAAAGCTCGACTTAATTACAAATGTCTAGACAAACGTATTGCTAAATATTGTAACTCTCTGTAAAGACTAAAAAGTCGAAAATAAAATATAGCAAAAACATTTGCAAAAAATATATTTTTTTTGTACTAAAAAGTAGAAAATAAACTTTTTAATTTAAATTTAATAGTTTAGTAAACTAAAGATTGGCGGGTATGTTTCTATATAAATCTTGTGCAGTTCTGTATTTTATTGCTTGCTGTACTTTTTAGTACAAAAAGATTATATTTTTAGCAAATGTTTTTGCTGTATTTTATTATATATATAAATAGATAAAATATTTCAGTAGAGTAAAAAAATCAAGTATCAATCATCCTGAGAAAAAATATAAAGATAAAAACTTCAAATAAGTTTGTTAAACATGGCTTTTTGTAGGCTGTTTTCTGCAGATATTAACATTTCAGCTGGTGTGATACAGCCTATTAGGCTAACAGAATTCATTTCTCTTATTTTTTTCCTATATTTAACTTTAAGCTGTTAAACGTTGATGGTTAAAATGTATAGTTTACCCAGTCTTCTTTTATATAACAAATCACTGATATCTTAAAATGTATAGTTTACCCAGTCTTCTTTTATATAGCAAATCACTGATATCTTAAAATGTGTAGTTTACCCAGTCTTCTTTTATATAACAAATCACTGATATCTTAAAATGTATAGTTTACCCAGTCTTCTAATATATAACAAATCACTGATATATTAAAAAGAACATCATCAAAGCTATCATCAATGAGCAAGTATTTATTGCTGAAATTGTTTGTTGTTTAGACAAACAAATTGTATTTTCATTTTTTCAAATCATAACATTAAATTAACAATTAACTCAATGTTTAACAGCTTAAAGTTAAATATAGGAAAAAAATAAGACAAATAAATTCTTTTTTTTTTTTTTTTTTTTTTCTGTTGCACTCCAGTGATCATCCAGGTCATATTTTGCAAATATGACCTGGATAACTGGTTAAAATGTATAGTTTACCTAGTCTTCTTTTATATAACAAATCACTGATAATCTTAAACCTATCAGAAATAGTTTTTATTATTTCATTTTTTAATGGTATATATTGCTCTTATTGTTTTTATGTCCTAATTTATGATTAAGATGTTCTCATGAATCTTAGGAATACAATATTTTTTTAATAAGTTTTTTCCAATGACCCTGTAGGAATCCTGAATATTACATTTGATAAATTTTTGTTAATTGTT